TGTAGTGATGTCTGACTGAACAGTGTTGTACTTAAGTGTAGTGATGTCTGACTGAACAGTGTTGTGCTCTAGTGTAGTGATGTCTGACTGAACACTGTTGTGCTTAAGTGGATTGATGTCTGACTGAACAGTGTTGTACTTAAGTGTAGTGATGTCTGACTGAACAGTGTTGTACTGTGGTGTAGTGATGTCTGACTGAACAGTGTTGTACTTTAGTGTAGTGATGTCTGACCGAACAGTGTTGTGCTCTAGTGTAGTGATGTCTGACTGAACAGTGTTGTGCTTAAGTGGATTGATGTCTGACTGAACAGTGTTGTGCTGTAGTGTAGTGATGTCTGACTGAACAGGGTTGTACTGTTGTGTAGTGATGTCTGATTGAACATGGTTGTACTTAAGTGTAGTGATGTCTGACTGAACAGTGTTGTGCTGTTGTGTAGTGATTGCTGACTGATAGTATGTCCATCCTCTAACGACAGAAAATCGCCTATTTATAAAGAGAAACATAATTACAAGTTGACATATAAAAGAATATATTAAATGTGGATCCGCTGGATCGCATACAGTTTGTTCTCCTTGTGTATATGTATGTATGGTTTGTCATGAGAATTCACCTATGAGGCCACTGGACAACCGTCGCTCCCAGTAACGAGTTCTAACTTGATTATGCTGATCACAAAATTCATAAATATGCAACATGGAATAAAACATATTAAAAGCAATAACATTTCAGTTCGTCTGTGTTGTAAATCGGGAGATAGTGAACTCGTCTGCTGATCGGATCACGTCACGTGATGAAATTGTGTCAATGATCATTAGAAACCAAGAGACCATCCTCACGTCGTTCACACTCACGCCTTTGATAACAAGATGGAAAAGCCATGCGTGTCAAATTGCTGACGTTAATCTGGTGCATGTGTTGGCCAATCGCCGAGGTACAGAGTTGCCTGCCTTTGGTGTGTCGCTCTCTGGCCGTTGGTTCGAATCTCACATTCGTCCTGATTATGATCACTGGGCAATATCCATGTCCGTGGTTTTACCACAGCGGTAGATATCAAATACAGGCAAAGGTTGCGGGTTTCGCGGGATGTGACAAGTGGCTGGGTGTCTGTTTAGTATTTGATTCAATGTAGTCTCCATTTCCATTTTCTTGTGTAATAATATTGGTGATCCTTTGAAACAAACACCGAACAGTTCATTTCATGTTCAACTAGTAACCACGCTCGGATCTTGTGATCGCGGGGCGGTGGGGTAGCCTAGTGGTTAAAGCGTTCGCTCGTCACGCCGAAAACCCAAGTTCAATTCCCCACATAAGTACATTACGTGAAGCCCATTTCTGGTGCCCCAGCCGTGATATCGCTTGTTTATTGCTAAAAGCGGCGTAACACAATACTCACTCATCAGACAATGCGTGTCTGTGTCTGGATTGTCAATAGGACGCAGAAGAACTATGTGAATGGCGAGTGATCCCAGTGTAACAGGGTATGTTTAACCTTTACGCTTATACAGTGTGTCATCTCTGAGTTTCAATGATCCATTCATAAAACATTCACCAATAGTTAGCTTTTCAGGCCACTATATGCTTCTCTGGATTTTCGAGTTTCCCATTTAATATGTACTCAAAAGCAAAGTAACTGTAAATGTGATAATAAGTCATTAGTTATCATTAGTTATCATGTGATTGCGGGGTAACCACATAACTTCAAAGACTGTAGTTCTTCAAAATGTCAAATTCTGCCTTGCAAAGTATTTGTTTCTACACACGTAATGGTGTTTAACTATTTCCCATCCCCCATTAAAGATGAACGTCAAGGAACTAACGTTTTAGAAATGTAATTCCAATATGCACTAGAGTGAGTGAGTTGGGTTTTACGCCGCTTTTAGCAATATTCCAGCAATATCACGTCGTGGGACGTCAGAAATGTGCTTCACACGTCTTCTGCGTGACGAGCGAACGCCTTAACCATTAGGCTACCCTACCGCCCCGATATGCACAATATCGGTATGAATCTATCCTATATATTTTCCGGGGTTTATTTGTAAACACAACTCAGTGGCAAATCCAGAAATTTGAAGAAAAGCTAGGTGCACACAAGAACGAAGTCGCAAGACGCCGGGACGAGGATGCAAATGACTTGTGTGTACGTGTGTAAAACGAGTGGATGGGGCGTTCACACAACCCACCGACCCTCTCTGGATCCGCCAATGCAACACCTATCAATATGCTTGACACATATATTAAGTCCATATCAGCATAACTATATGGTCAATACAACCATAATCTGAAACAGTGTTGGTACCCGTAACCCATTAACCCATTACAGCTTGTTTTGGGGACGGATGGTCGGCCTGATGACGTGGGGAGTGGGGTGTCGTTGATCATTCTATCCACAACTGGTTTGACTTCTGGTGATCAGATAATGTACTGGATGACTGGATGACTGGATGACTGCGTCGTAAAATAACAAATTAACGTGCATGTTATCTCATTTTCAGTTTCGTCTGAGCACAGGGCCCCTATTTTCGAAAGAGTCCCAGCTAAGACAGATCCTAAGTAGTTGAGACAGAAGTTAGGACATCCTACCGTAAGGATAAGACCCATTCTCGAAATGATCCTATCCCTGTCCTAACTTGTGCTACCTATCCTAGCTAGGACAGCGAGCTCTTCAGTAGGTGAGATAGAAAAACCTCCATTTAGTTGGGGATTCCCCTAAATAATACCCATAATTCGTGGCATAAATGACACAATGCAAACGAGAAAAATCTCTGCACAATATGAGGTGCATTTAGAGCAGCTAACGTCTGCGCTACAGCCCGACTTACTGTTGGTTGTGAAATACCCATGCCATCTGCATTGCAAAGCTGCATTTTGCCTGTAGCCAAAAACATCAATGTTACAAGCACTTTGTATAGGGCTGATAAGGACCGGTTTCTAAAGGTAAGTGCATCGATTTCATATATCAAAAACATTCTTCCTAGTGTGAAAGTTTGCGTTTCCGTGAGCCGCCATATTGGATAACTAAGAATTTTCTTGACTAGTTAGGTGTCCTCATGAGGTTTCTTAAAGTTAAGAAGAAAACTAAGAACAAAATTAGTTGTCTAAGTTTTTTCTTACAAGTTAAGAACGTTGTTATGGAAACTAAGAATTCTTAGAAGCTTTATGAATACCGCCCCAGTGGAGCATGGTATATAGAGAAACTATGCATCATGCGTGTTAATAGGGGCCCTGTAGTGTATATAACACAGGAATCAAAAACCCCACCTGTTGTAGTATCATGTATTACAACAGGTGGGGTATGAATCCACACCTGTAGTGTATATAACACAGGAATCATACCCCACCTGTTGTCGTCATATGTATTACAACAGGTGGGGTATGAATCCACACCTGTAGTGTTTATATCGGTAGAATCATACCCCACCTGTTGTCGTCGCATGTATTACAACACATGGGGTATGAATCCACACCTGTAGTGTACATAACACAGGAATAATACCCCACCTGTTGTAGTATCATGTATTTCAACAGGTGGGGTATGAATCCACACCTGTAGTGTATATAACACAGGAATCATACCCCACCTGTTGTAGTATCATGTATTTCAACAGGTGGGGTATGAATCCACACCTGTAGTGTATATAACACAGGAATCATACCCCACCTGTTGTAGTATCATGTATTACAACAGGTGGGGTATGAATCCACACCTGTAGTGTATATAACACAGGAATCATACCCCACCTGTTGTAGTATCATGTATTACAACAGGTGGGGTATGAATCCACACCTGTAGTGTATATAACACAGGAATCATACCCCACCTGTTGTAGTATCATGTATTACAACAGGTGGGGTATGAATCCACACCTGTAGTGTATATAACTAGGGAACCATATCCCACCTATTGTCGTCACATGTATTACAACAGGTGGGGTATGAATCCACACCTGTAGTGTTTATATCGGTAGTCTGTTTGATTGGCATTTAGAAGTTGGTGACTAATAAGAAAGTAAGAATATTTATGGATAACAACTTCTTTATTATATATGATGCGACGTTTCGGTATGGATTCTTATACCGTTGTCAAGCAAGAGTGAAGTACTACAGCACAGACCAGGCTTATATACATGAACAGGGATTAAGTAATAACAACATGTAGGACTGAATGAGGGGGATTAACAATAACAACAAGGCACGGTGGCAATAATGTAGTGACAATAGGAAGCCAATGGTGGTTGATGTAAAAAACAAAATATACATGCTGATGAGATTAATTAACAATGATGGCTGAGGTGCTCTAATCTGTTGTTTTTATGAGATCATTGTATGCAGAAGGGATGAGATATCCCTGGTCTCTGTTGATTGAGGGCTTGTGTCTCCGGATTTGAACTGCTTCTGCAAGTTTCCTTTTGGTGAAGTCCTGGTGGTTTTTGGATAATATGTCCACATTGTCCCAAATTATGTTGTGATTGGGGCAGTTGATGATGTGGTCTGATAATGCCGATTTTCTATCAGATTTAGTGGTAGATGATAAGTGTTCTTTGATTCGGATATTTATGGGCCGGGAGGTTTCGCCTACATAGGCCTCGCCACAGTCACAGTTGATTTTATAGACAACACCTTTGGGTTGATGTTGTCGTTTAGAGGTGTTCCTGCCATTCGCTTTCAGTAGGGTTTTTAGTGGTGTAGAGCTGGTAAAGTAGGTTTCGATGCCTGCTTCTCGCTTGAGGAGACGGCTGATGTGGTGAGAGGTTTTCCTATGAAGGAGGGAGATACGAATAGGTGCTGGTTCAGGTTTGTTGGAGGCCGGTTTTCTTGTTGGGTGGAGTGTGGTGCTGATAATTTTATCGACTAGTTTCGACGGGTAGTGGTTGAACTTGGTGAAAACATGGCGGAGGTGCTGTATTTCTGTAGTGGGACTGGTGGAGGAAAGGTTGATGGCTCGTCTGGTGAGGGTGGAGATAATGCCAGTTTTGGTTCTCAAAGGGTGGTTGGAGTCAAAATGAATGTATTGGTCGGAGTGGGTTGGCTTTCTATAGACACTGGTACGGATCTTGTTGGCTGGAGTTCTGGTTACAAGGACATCTAGAAAGGGAAGTTGACCACTGGATTCTGTTTCTAAGGTGAATTGGACCCGGGGGGTGCTGTTGGTTGAGGTGTTGCAGGAGGGCTGCTGGGTCTTGGTCTTGCCGAAGGATGACAAACGTGTCATCGACCTTCCTGTACCAGCAGGTTGGTTTGATGGTTGAGGTGCTGAGTGCTTGCTGTTCGAAGGAGGTCATGTAGATTTCTGTGAGTATTGGGGACAGAGGGGAGCCCATGGGCAGGCCGTGGATTTGTTCATAGTAGTCGTCTCCCCAGGTGAAGTGCATGGAGACGTGGCAATCAACACCATCAACAGCCTCAACCGACTAGAGAAGAAGCACATACTAGCCAGCAACCATCTCACATTCCTCATGAGATGTAGAGATCAAGACATCATACCCAAAGGCCTCAAACTTGCATCACCTATCAACTCACCTGCGGCCAGAGCCATCCTCCATAATGCCTCCAAAAGACTTGTACGGGAAAGAATTCAGCATCACCGCAACGCCAAAGCCAGCACCCTCAACCATATCTCCGACCACATCAACCAGTTGACCGACACACTCCAACCAGAGATCCTCAATTCACTCCGTTCAGCCCAGACTCAGTCCAACAAAAAGTTGTGCTTGAAGACCAAGACCAAGCACGTAAAGAAACTCCAAGAACTAATGAATAGCCAGCCCAAGCCCACTCCCAAGAAAGCCACCAACATATCCAACTATCTCAGAAAGACTGTTGTCAACCTCAGTGATAAAAACATCACTGAACAGCAGGTCAACGTACTCTCCAAGGGACTAAAGTTCATTCCAACCACACCACTCCGCAACCACGACGACTTCATCACCAACATTGAAAAGGGACTCCAACAACTAGCGCCAGGAGGTAAGATTGACTACTTACGCCACCAGATAACCGACATCCTTGCCAAAGCCAGCCCCCAACCACCCAACCTCACAGCTGCCGAAAAACAAGCCATCCATCACCTACGAAACGACAAGGAAATCACCATTGCCCCAGCCGACAAGGGCAAGGCCACAGTCATCCTGAACACACCGGACTTTCACAGCATGGTCAACAAGATCCTCCATGACCCAACCACCTACCGCAAGATCAAGAAAGACCCCACCGCCAAACTCAGCCGCCAACATAAAGCCAGCCTCAAACAACTGAAAGAGAAGTACGAAATCAGCCAGCAACTATATTACAAACTAGCCACATCTAACCCACAGCCACCGTATGCCAGAGCCACGATAAAAATCCACAAGACCCCACCCAAGGCCAGACTGCTTGTGTGCTCCAGAGACACTGTGTTCTACAGTACCGCCCAACACCTAACGGAAATCCTTGCCCCACTCGGTAAAACAGCGGACTCCTACATCTCTGACTCAACGGATTTCTGTAACAAACTCCTCAAAATAACTGAAGCAGACCAGATCCTGAGTTACGATGTTGTGGACCTCTTCACAAGTGTCCCCATAGAAGAAACTCTCCAAATCCTCCGCCAACGCATCTCTGAATTAGAAACTCCCCTTGACACCAACCTCACCACTGACTCCATCATTGCCCTCACCTCTGCCTGCATCACCTCCACTTACTTCACCTGGGGAGACGACTACTATGAACAAATCCACGGCCTGCCCATGGGCTCCCCTCTGTCCCCAATACTCACAGAAATCTACATGACCTCCTTCGAACAGCAAGCACTCAGCACCTCAACCATCAAACCAACCTGCTGGTACAGGAAGGTCGATGACACGTTTGTCATCCTTCGGCAAGACCAAGACCCAGCAGCCCTCCTGCAACACCTCAACCAACAGCACCCCCGGGTCCAATTCACCTTAGAAACAGAATCCAGTGGTCAACTTCCCTTTCTAGATGTCCTTGTAACCAGAACTCCAGCCAACAAGATCCGTACCAGTGTCTATAGAAAGCCAACCCACTCCGACCAATACATTCATTTTGACTCCAACCACCCTTTGAGAACCAAAACTGGCATTATCTCCACCCTCACCAGACGAGCCATCAACCTTTCCTCCACCAGTCCCACTACAGAAATACAGCACCTCCGCCATGTTTTCACCAAGTTCAACCACTACCCGTCGAAACTAGTCGATAAAATTATCAGCACCACACTCCACCCAACAAGAAAACCGGCCTCCAACAAACCTGAACCAGCACCTATTCGTATCTCCCTCCCCTTCATAGGGAAAACCTCTCACCACATCAGCCGTCTCCTCAAGCGAGAAGCAGGCATCGAAACCTACTTTACCAGCTCTACACCACTAAAAACCCTACTGAAAGCGAATGGCAGGAACACCTCTAAACGACAACATCAACCCAAAGGTGTTGTCTATAAAATCAACTGTGACTGTGGCGAGGCCTATGTAGGCGAAACCTCCCGGCCCATAAATATCCGAATCAAAGAACACTTATCATCTACCACTAAATCTGATAGAAAATCGGCATTATCAGACCACATCATCAACTGCCCCAATCACAACATAATTTGGGACAATGTGGACATATTATCCAAAAACCACCAGGACTTCACCAAAAGGAAACTTGCAGAAGCAGTTCAAATCCGGAGACACAAGCCCTCAATCAACAGAGACCAGGGATATCTCATCCCTTCTGCATACAATGATCTCATAAAACAACAGATTAGAGCACCTCAGCCATCATTGTTAATTAATCTCATCAGCATGTATATTTTGTTTTTTTACATCAACCACCATTGGCTTCCTATTGTCACTACATTATTGCCACCGTGCCTTGTTGTTATTGTTAATCCCCCTCATTCAGTCCTACATGTTGTTATTACTTAATCCCTGTTCATGTATATAAGCCTGGTCTGTGCTGTAGTACTTCACTCTTGCTTGACAACGGTATAAGAATCCATACCGAAACGTCGCATCATATATAATAAAGAAGTTGTTATCCATAAATATTCTTACTTTCTAACTCTGTTTCATATAGAAATCTCATTTTAACCCAGAATTCCTTTGACGTTAGTAGTTCTGGGTCGGTTCAAACGGTTAATATACCAATTTACAGCAAACATTGAAGATTTACACTTGACGTATTTTGGGCTTTTGGTATCTCCTGTGTTTTGTGTATCTGAATTAGAAAAAAAACATAGAACAAAACAGACACGAGCACATTATAATTGTTTGAAACGACCGTAAAATATTGGACAAAAGGGCCGCTGGCGGAAGATCAAACTCCTCGGATACATTGGAAGCCGTGCTAAAGGTATTGCTCGGGATCATGCACAGAGAACAACCTCTGCATCTTCAATAGGACATCCAGTGTCAAGAGACTGCACCTCAGGAAATACGGAATTAACAAGGGTCTTACAGTCCCGTACACCCTTTCAAAACACCGTGTAACTAATAATATAGCTTGTCATTGTTTGAATACCGTGATACATGTACAACTACACACTGGTGAATCTCATCCCATTATTACTAAGGGACCGTTCATAATTTATGGCTTAGGGGTGAAGAGGATTTTTATGGAGAAGCATGTACAATTTGAATGGACCCCCTAAAATTTATATGTACAAATTAAGTGACGCCCTTTTCGTACTATCAGGGACGACAAACAACATGCTGATACACAAAAGGAATTGATCTTCAGCAACCCATTCTTGTCGTGTATTGGGCGACTAACGGGATCAGGTGGTCAGACTCAGTGACTTCATGTCACAGTATCCCTACTACATAGATGATGCTCATAATGTCAATCACTGGAATGTCTGGTCCAGACTTCATTATTTACACCCCGCTTCAATATTACTGGGTGGGGCGTTAAACAAACAAACAAACATACTACAAAAGAAGCTGAGGTTCTCAAAAATTGTTGAAATTCTATGCACACTTTTAAATCAAAATATCCTCTACTCTAAAAATGTTTCTAGAGAGTGGAGTCTACTATTGAAAATTGTCAAGATCTCGCACCTCACGCCGAAGACCCGGGTTCGATTCCCCACATGGGCACAATGTGTGAAACCATTTCTGGTGTTCCCCGCCGTGATATTCCTCGAATACTACTAAAGGCGGCGTAAAACCCAACTCACTCACTCACTCACATACACAGGTCATTGTGAACTACGATAAACCAGCAGTGAAATGCTCAACACTCTAACATCCGCCTTTCTGTGCGACTGAAGTGATACGGACGGCTTCACCCGACGCTCTGCGTACAGGGACACAACAGTCACGCCACAGGTAAATCACAGGTAGATATTTTTCAAACGAATGTTGATTTACAAATTCACTTTACACATACTCCATGTTGAAATGTTTAAAGTAAAATAGCATGGTGAATTTCAAACATCAACTCGTAGAGATAACAGATAACCAGTACTTTTCGTGTTCAGATATACTTGAGACCTCATGGACTAAGTAAGATATATTTAATATTTGACATTTAGTTTGTTTGATATTGTAAAAGTAATAAGACACAATATAAACTGTTTTCTTTGTTTCTATTTGCCTGTCTTGGGTGTATCAGGTCAACAAGTCATGGGTGGGTAATGTATGCGGATGTTTGACGACAACATGGAGAGATAGACAGGGGATGTACGGTTCCAATTTACTTCCTTGTGTATCGGACCCGTGAAGATCCGGGGTAGAATAGGTCTTCAGCAACCCATGTGCTTGCCATAAAAAGGCGACTATCTTGTCGTAAGAGGCGACTAACGGGATCGGGTGGTCAGTTTCGCTGACTTGGTTGACACATGTCATCGGTTCCCAATTGCGCAGATCGATGCTCATGCTGTTGATCACTGGATTGTCTGGTCCAGACTCGATTATTTACAGACCGCCGCCATATAGCTGGAATATTGCTGAGTGCGGCGTAAAACTAAACTCACTCACTCACTCACCTTGTGTATCGCTGCGTAAAACCGTGTTGCTTTGTATATAACTTAACAACATCTGCGAAATCTGGGTCACGCTGAAAACGTCAACACGGCAATATACACTCAAGGGCAAAAGAAAGTGTACTTCTCAGTTGATGCTTCATAAGTTTCATTTTGAGTTAAACATTTCTTGAATTAGCCGCAATGTATGTGCGTGCGTGAGTTAGGTTTAACGCCGCTTTTAGCAATATTCCAGCAATATCACGGCGGGGGACACCAGAAATGGGCTTCACGCATTGTGCCCATGTGGGGAATCGAACCCGGGTCTTCGGCGTGACGAGCGAACGCTTTAACCACTGGGCTACCCCACCGCCCCCGCAATGTATGTAAAACAAAGCAACAGTGCTGTTACTTTGACAGAACTCAAAGAATACATCCACGTGCTTTTATTTTACAAATGATATTGCATAACTTTTACAAAATCGCATAATACACAACAGCTTATGAGTATATTAGACATGTTTGAAAATCAACAATTTCGTTCAGCAATTCTACATTTAGGTCATGTGGGGGTCACGTGGCTGCAAATTCATTTCTTATGCAGATCTCCATTAAGGGAATCTATTTTGACACAAAATTAACCGAACAGGGAATTACTGAATGATGTTTGAAAAGACAAAATATTTTAACAATAGTTCTTTCGATTTTGAACACCCGACATACTTTCTTTTTAAAATCGTCGAAATGTAGAGATTCTGGTGGACATAGTAGATATGAATGTAAAATAATACATGTATATGAGAGAGTACAAATACAAAGTAATTCATACATATTTCAAAAATATGGATATAAATGTACATTTGGTGTTGGGCTTTTTTTCAAATTAATAAATTGCGATACATATCCACATTCTTGATATATCCAAGCATATGAATAACCAGTTTGAAATAACAACATACAAAGATAATACAAATATAGCTGTTATAGCTGTTACATGTTTGGTGGTAAATAGTACATATAAAACAATGATTAAAACCAAATAAAGTACATGTATGCGGTTAGCCTGAGGAAAAACAAACAGGTGGGTGACAAGAAATATGCATATATATACTAGGCACATAAAGAAACTGTGCATTGTCAAAATATTATCCCAGTTGATAAGTACGATAACAATGTCAAAGGTACATATAAACTTTAATGGAGGGATCATGAGACCATAACAAGTCGGGAGAATTTCAATTGAAAAGTCAATCACAATGACGTCACGTGTCCACAAGCGGGACAGGAGTCAAACGACCATGTCACAAGCTGAATAACGGGTATGTCCACCATCGGCATTGAGAACAGCAGTGCATCGACGACGCATGGAGCCTATCAAACGTGCAAGGAAGGCTTGTGGGATGTCACGCCAGATTCTCTTGCAAGGTCAAGGACGTTATCTGGCGGATGAGGAAGACGGCGTAGACGTCGATCCATCTCGTCCCAAACATGGTCTATCGGGGAGAGATCCGGTGAATTTGCAGGCCAAGGCAGTAAGTCAACGTTGTGGTGTTGCAAGAAATCCATAGCAACCCTTGCCGTATCAGGGTGGGCATTGTCCAGTTGGAATGTTAACCCAGGACCATGACGTTGCAGAAAAGCTATTGCCACAGGTCGAAGAATCTGATTCCTGTAGCCCACACCAGTTAAGTTGCCCTGAACAATCACCAAAGGAGTTCTTTAGCGTGCTTTTATTCCACCCCAAATCATCACGGAATCACCACCAAAGCGATTCCTCTCCAAGACACAGGCCTGTGCATTACGTTCTCCCACGCGTCTATAGGCACGTTGACGTCCATCACTATGGGAAATGTTAAACCTGGACTCACCTGTGAAAACAAGGGTCTGCGGACTCCACCAAAACAAGGGACTGCGGACATGATTTCGGCACCACATTCGGCGAGCTTGTCGATGACGTTGTGTCAGGATAGGCCGTATGGCGGGACGTCGTGGTCTGATCCCGTGATGACGTAAACGTTGTCTAACTGTGTTGGGGTGGATACGGCGAAGTCCTGGGTTGGTTCGGGCAGTCATCACTGCAGTCTGAAACCTGTGGCGAAAATGGGTCACCCTTATCCATCTGTCCTGTCTTGGCGTTGTTACACGTGGACGTCCAGAACGTGGCCGATCGATGACGTCATTTGTGTTCCGGTAGCGTTTCACCAGTGCAGAAATGGTGTTCCGGTGGCAGTGGAAATGTGCAGCCACTTGTCGTTGAGACATTCCCCCACGGACCATCCCAATGGCCTCATGACGTTGTGCAGGCGTGAACCTTGGCATGCTATGCGTTTCAATAGCCGTTTAATTTTTATAACGATCGCAAGGGCGGGGGTTGAGCTTTCCAAAGTGACAGTATTGTATGGCATTCATTTGCTCTGTTTCTCTTTCCCGGAATGCACGTGCAACAACGTATTGCACGTCGCAAGGACGAATCCACTGACGTCACGGAACGTGGCACGTGCATGCATGTTGGATACATGTCCCTAATCTCTGAGTATAAATCCTTACGTGTCTACACTGGTTTGATAACTTAGATTTTAAACTTTTGTATGCACAGTTTCTTTATGTGCCTAGTATAGTATGTAGTAGGGGCGAAACGGTATACATACCGCGGTATTAGTAGAACCGCGGTATTTTGCTTTCGGTTCGGTATACCGTAATGCAATCCAAAAATTCGGTATTTTCGGTTTTCGTACCGTCATCTTAGTAACCTTTTATAACCTTTTCTAAGATGTCTAGAAATCGAATCATTTTGTCAAAGTCTATGCATTTTTTTGCTAGACGGCCGCTATTTTCCCGGAAGTAGGTTCTCATATATACCGGACCGAAACGGACCGAACCGAAGGCCTTGTACCGCAATACGTACCGTACCATGGTAAGAGCGTACAGTTTCACCTCTCCTATGTAGCTTCATATCAAATGAGGGTTCCTCGGAAGGAACACAGAAAATTGGTAAGGAATATTCTGTGTGATGTGCTGGAACAATATGCTATCAGTGAAACAATACCTGTCTTTGTTATGGCAACAAACATTCAGATAACTTATCACCTCTTTCAACAGAGCAGTTTCTTAGATAAAACAGTTCGCCCAAGTCGTATTTCGGCGCCACACATCTTCACACGCTTCAGCTCTCTGGGGCTTTTGTTTTCTGAACAGACGACGTTTTACCTAAATGATTTGAAAATATTTGTTCAATAGGTTCCTGGCATGAGTAAATCTAAACCCTATTGTGTTGCTTTACGTGGTTAAATTATTCAGACTGTTACCACTAGCGGTTTCTGAGAAAACGATTCCTTAAGATTTTCCATATTCTAATATTTGTTTTCATTTGATGAAACAATTCATTTGTATTATTTCAACGGAATGAGGGTAACTCTTATTCTAATAACTAGTTTCTGAAACGTACATATTTTACTGAGAAAAAACCCAGTTCACAGTAAGAAAAATAAAATATAATGAAAAGGAGCCCTAAGACTTTCAAACTGTGGAAATCTAGACTTGCTACATATTCTAGACATGCATGGGCTTTCTTGGATATATTTGTTTCAGGGTCGGTATGACAGACTAGGTAACTCTTAGCCTAAAAGCTAGAAATCCGCAAAAAGTTTTAGAATCGTCCCTCCATCTGTTTCGGCGAAGGATTAAGTTAAGGAGACGACGAATCCGGGCGAGATTAAACATGTCCATTTTATATTTTGTAAAACGACCTCAGTTAATAACTTGACTGAATTGACATACATTTGATGAAAACACATATTTTGTAAAGATAATCTGTTGATGCCATGACACATTTTTGCATAGAAATTGTTTTAGAAGTATTCGAGAACCCGACCTTCCACCAAATGTTGCGATCAGCACTAACCTAATGTTTGTTGTACTCTCTTACTTCACAGTTTTCCAAATGGCTGAGGTGGACATTCCTTCTTTCAGTTCCGAAGTTACGTCCTGCTACAAGCTACAAAAGGAACTGGCTCAGGAATTACGTGACTTTGCTGAAAACCTGAAATCTAAACAGAGAAAAGTTGACATCGCAAAACTTACAACCTCAAATGTTGGTCTCGTTGGTGGAGGTCTTGCAATCGCCGGCCTGGTTCTTGCCCCCCTTACTGCAGCGGCCTCATTAGGCCTTACCATAGCTGTGGGCGTAGTAGGAGGAGGTTGTGCCGTGTCAGGTTTGTCGTCCATGATTGTTGAGTATCGCATAACCAAGAAAGCTGAAAAACACGTATCACAAAAACTTCATGATTATGCGGAAATGTCAGAAGATATTAACTCAAAACTGAATACGCTAATTAAGACACTGCAAGAATCAGAGAAGGATGTTCTGCAAGGTCAAATTGAAAAAAGTACTTTTATCAACAAGGAGACAAAGAACGATATCATTGGAATGATCAGAAGCACTGAAAAAATATCATTTCCTCTGGGTCTTGCAGCCAGAGGGGCAGTAGTTATCATATCAGTCAAGGACGTGGTTGACTCGGTAATCAAGGCGGTTAAAATTACCAGGGCAACTAAAAGGGCTGTTGATGTTGTTGGGAGTATTGCAACTGGTGCTGAAGTATCTGCCAGAGTTGTCTCAGCTGGAAGGTGTGTAGGAACGGCTACCGATGTTGGCACTGACATCACTTCCGCTGCTGGGAAGGCCGCCACGGCCGGTAAAGCTGCAGCAGCCGGGGTGAAGGTCGGGGGGTGTGGTACTTGCCGCTGCCGGAGTGGCAATAGATCTCGGTGCTGTTATTTACTACAGTCGTAAAATACACAAAAACGAACCCTCAAAGATTGTAGAGAACATCTTGAAAGTGGCTGATTGTCTGGACACAGAATGAGGGAAGAAACAGCCACAATCACAATCTAGGTTACCATAGCAATACATGTGTGATAAATGTATATCGTTTGTTTGTTTCAAAGGTTAGAATGAATCTGCTATGTATTAAATAAACCCTGTCCACTTGGGAAATCTAACGCAAAAATGGAAATGGACAGAATCAAGCAAATTACACAGATTTCCCCCCTTGGAAATCCAGCAGCTTAATGGGTCGAGTGGTCGGACTGGGCATCGCAACCCGACTGTAAGGGACGGTGCTCACCCATCACTGGTGCTCATCCATCATCTGTTATTTACAGGAAGAGGTCATGTAGCTGGTCTGTGTCTGAAAGCAGAGTTCAGCAAGAAATCAATCGATTACTTCATGGTATCTGCATAACTAATAATGCTCAAATAATCTAATAGGATCAGAACAGTGTCGGAGAGACGGTGACATTGTTACATTGTGCAACTGATGAGCTTCAGCCAGGAATGATAGCCACATATCACCGGCTGAAATTCACTGGTATTTTACCATTTTGTGATACGGCGAATCCTTGTCACATACGTAAGTGAGTGAGTGAGTTACGATCGGTTGATACCGATATTCTGGAAACATGTGCACACAGAAAAACAAAAAAACAATGGACTCTGCAATTGCATAATATTATATCTCGAGAACTGGAAGCATGTGCTCGTTTGGTTTTTGGGTTGGTTTGCTGTCTCAGGCCGCACTCAGCAATATACCAGCTATATGTCGGCGGTCTGTAAATAATCGAGTCTGGACCAGACAATTCAGTGATCAACAGCATGAGCATCAACCTACCCAACTGGGAAACGATGACATGTGTCAACCAAGACAGAGAGCCTGACCACTCGATCCCGTTAGTCGCCTCTTACGACAAGCATGGGTTGCTGAAGGCGAATTCTAACCTGTATCTTCACCGATCGCGTGTGCTCGGAATTTGATGTATTAGGTATAAACACATATACAGCAAGCATTTAGTGAGATATACATGTATGTTGCTAATTTACCAAGATCTCTAAATGTCATTCCGTGTTCAACGACATACCATGAATGAATATTGTTTAACGCCGCTTTGAACAGTATTTCAGTGTCTCACGGCGTGTCGTCTGAACATGGGAGGAACGCGCAAACCTATGCAGGTCTCAGACATATATAGAAAGCCTACGTTATGAAACACGAGATCATCAAACTGAGTGAGTGATCGTATAGTTTGGTTGAAGTCCGTTTGGGGCAATTCTGTCGTTGAATTGCGGCCCTTATGAAGACCGTGCACCCCTTCCAGGGGTGGAAATAACCCATTGCCCGACGCCCGAGTCCAGCGGGTTTTTCCAGGCAAGCAAATTTGTATATCACAATGTTCCGGTGTCCAGTTGACTTTCCAATATTAATTATGTTGTTTATTTAAAAAATCAACAAGGAAACGGCCGGTATAGTGGAAAATTTATCAGGGCAAGTGATTTACATGTGCCACTGTACCGGAGTACACTAGCAATTTTAAAGTTATTTCCACCCCTGCCCTTCTGATTAGAAAAGTTGTTGGACTCGAAACTTTTGTTTCAAAATACAGACATTAATGTTATATATGTGTGTTGCGCTGTTAGTCATGTCACTTCTCTCTTACTCATTGTAGATTAAAAAAATAAATATATATATATCCCAAATAATTACCTGTTAAAATATCCTTGTTCTGCCTTTGCTTCCATTCTATCCTCCAAAAATGAAAATATAATACGTAATCTTGCGCTTTATGTAAAACATGCTGTTTTCCTTAGAAGCAATATCTTATCCGAACTGTAATTTCTTTGTGAAATGTCTGTAACATGTGCTGTATATATACTTGTATTCCTTGTATATGGGCCGGATTCCTTAAGTACAATACATATCTTTGACTTGACTTTGAAACGTTTGTTTCAAAATACAGACATTAATGTTATATATGTGTGTTGCGCTGTGAGTCATGTCTGTTCCTCTCTTACTCATTGTAGATGTGGAAATAATGCGACATATATAGACCTTGACAAATGTCGCGCGGTAACAATGTCGCACTTTAATTATGAAATATCTCAATAAATATCACAAGGGCGAAATGCATTCATCACAGCTGCCAGAGGAGTCATGTTGTATTTTGACAGAAGAGAAGAAATATAATTAGTATCTCTTAAACGGCATCATATATAACGAGTGAGTGAGTGAGTGGTTGAGTGAACACACTTAGTTTAGTTTTTTTATGGCAAATAAATGAATATTCTAGCAATGGGCTTCACACATTGTATAACCACTACGCTACCCAATCGACCCACATCACAATGAAGTCAAGATAGCATATTGTAATCACTCCCCTCGGGCCATATACAGTAACCGCGTCTCTGTCAACTATCGGGAATTTAAATGATTTGGCGAATGACATCATAAATCTTATGATGAAAACAAGGCGTGAATATCTGAGAAAATATGAACATAGGCAAAATATTCATTCAGAAGTCATTGAAAGAAATGCATTCATGAAAGAGTTGGTTGTGACGCGGCCATGCAAAGGTAACATTTTAAATGGAATCCCATCTACATGGAAATACCTAAACTAATATAATTCACTTGCTATTTGCGGTTACAGATAAACACTGTAACTGACGATGCAGAGAGACAACTACATTCATTTCTGAATAAACAAGCGCACATATAATCCTTTGCCAGGGGAAGTAACTCTGTTTTTTTACCGGAAACTGTTACCTTTTGGCGTATTGATATGATAAATGTGAATAGATATCTTTGTAATAATCATTCGCTTAAACTGTTGTTATTTATACGATTAATATAGATCCTACAGCACCCATCGCCTTTACATACTTCTATAAAACGTTTAATGGCACGACTGATGGACTATATTGTGCGTTGCTATGGAGCGGAAGCATTTTAAACATGTGTTGTTAGGTCGCCGCTGTAAACGATAACACCAACTCGTTTCCTCATCTTTGGAGAAAGATAAGGGAATCGACTCGTCAAAATGGAGGGTGTAGTCGGCGAAACTGAAGTTTTGATCGAAGATGCAAATAAACACGAAGTAGACCCTATAAACGAAGAGTCAGAAGAGAATATGGGAGAAAAAGGAGACGACGAAGAAAAGGCCGAAGACGAGAATGCACTGTCAGAAGATGCTGAAGCACTTGCCGACGAGCTAGCCAAGATCGTTGTACATGCTCCCGTCGCTGAACCGTAAGTTATGTTGAATACTTCTTATTCAAACTTTCAGGAAAGACGTTAGTGTTTGCAATTGTCAATTACTGATGTAAGTACAATATTCACGTTTCAGTTTGTTCTTAGCTATCGAAACCATGTCAACCATATTTTTATTATAATTACAATCAATTGTCGTCTGAAAACGTAATGAAAACCAATGATCCAACAATACATATTTGCAAGTCTGTGGCATTATGGTAACCATTAGACCCCCCTAAAAACTGGTTCTGATAATAGAAATCGGTTGTGGTTGTATTGCATTATTAAGCTGAATAATGTTGATGATGTCTTATTATTTTTCTGTGTAAAAAGAAACAGTGTGAGAAGTTGTTATTGTTCATGTGTTTTTTTATAAGAACTGACACAAATTTACACAGTATGCACACTGTTTTTCATGTTTACTTGTCCAGAATAGTATTGAAGTCATCATTTAACACCAAAATGAAGAAAAAATATGTCCATGCCTTTATGTCAACAGTGCACCAAGGGAAGTTTTTGACCCATCAGAATTTCCATCATCATACAAAGACAATCTCCCAAAGGAAAAGCTTGTTCTTCAATATGCTGACAACTTCCGCAGACAGTACGTCCATCTGTACAGAGATAGGAAACCTCTCTTCCTCAACCCTCTGAATGAGTTCTATATTGATGTACGTTGGTCACACTTATTTTCCTATGTCATGATTTAGCCCAAATTTAATTTATTTTTTATTATCATTGATTTCATTTCTATTTAGTTCATATTCCAACTTAAATATACAGTTGCAATAAATAGATTGATGCATTGATGTATATGAAAACACACAGCTGTTTGTTAAAATGGATTACAAGTAAAAGTAATAAAAAGATTAGGGCTGGGTTAAAGTCAAGATAGAATCAAGACAAACTGTCCTTGAGCCTTACAATGTCCTTTTGTTTACAGAAACTGGTCTGCACCACTATCCGGCCAACTCAACTACCCTACAAGGAGCTTTATAACTGGGATGGTGCAGCAGAGTTTGTAGCTGACTATCTCAACTTCCAGACTCTTGACCCACCTTATGAGCTGGTAGGACAGCCTGGGTTTACTTTGTAGCTACCACTCATAGCACTGACTGACTGGGTTTAGTTTTACGCCGCTTTTAGCAATATTCCAGCAATATCACGGCGGGGGACACCAGATATGGGCTTCAAACCAAGGTCTTCAGAGTGACGATCAGACGCTTTAATCTCTAAGCTACCCCATTGCCCACCACTCATGGCAGGATATACACTGACATCTCTTCTGAAACTGCTTGTCGAGTTGATTTCTGTAAATTCCCAGAATGCAATATCACTAACATTATATATCTTGACACATTGTCATAAAATATCAATTTAAGAGTGTAATTGCTTTATGCAAGATGTAGGTTTCGACTTTTCACATTCAGGATTGATATGGTTTGTTTCAAATACATTTTGAGTAAACATCATCCTTACATAGAAATATTTATGTTTAAAACTGTGTAGTGTTGATGTTTAAAGAAACAAACAATGTCAAAGACAAATTTCTTTGACCCTGTTCTACCATGTTAACCTGGACTCATGTTACTTTTTGATGATACTTCTTTAAATAGTGATGTGGTTTGGCTGCTCATGAGGATATATATCATTTGTTATAGCCAAAGATCTTACTTTCCCCTTCGACTGTCCTGAAGCGTCAGAAAGGCAACTGTTTTGAGTACAGCACCCTACTATGTTCTCTGCTGATTGCTGCTGGATATGATGCATATGTGGTCAGCGGATATGCCACTCGGGAGACATGCCTGGCTGATGAGTCACGAGAGATATGCCCAATGCTTAAGAAGAAAGAGGAGGTACTACATCACAAGCCATAGGCCAAAAATCATTAGATTTCATGCTAAATATTCAAACAAGTTGGTCGGGAAGCATTTTTTAATTAATTAAATGAATTTATCGACAGCAACATCTTTTTTAATTTCAAATCAAGTAGAAATCATTTCAGAAAGACTTACTGAAGAAGCTATTCATGAATAAATATTGCACACCTTAGCATGATTAACAACCCTATTTACAAATGGAGTTGAGGTGGCACCTTAACACTTCTGATTCAGATTTTACAGAAGATATTCATGTATAAAATACTGCATACCTTAATGGCAGAGCAGAAGGTATCCAGTGTACTGTAATCTGACCTATCTAGATGTATGAGTTCTGAAGTGATTCTCTTATGGTGCTGTTCTGAAAGTGTGAAAATGATCCTGTCTCTGTAGACAAAAGAAGAAGAGAAGAAGAAGGAAATGAAGAAGTACACTGTGAAGCCACCTCGTGATCTGCGAAGTAAGTTCGAGCTGAAACAGGAGAGGAGAAGACAGGAAGAACGTAAGGCAGAGGAGGAGAAGAGGAAGAAAGAGGAAGAAGAACGACTAGCTGTACGGACATAAATTCTTGCTTTCATAATTTTCACGTACCGATCCATTGAATTTCTTTTACAATAATTGATTCTGTTAATACTGATGGCAGTAAGGAAAAACAATTAATGGAAAGAATTTGTTTAAAGTGATTTCACATGATGGCAAGTCTCCAGAATATATATTTTATTAGAATGAGTGAACAGGATTTTACCACTTTCAGAAATATCTCAGCACAATGTTACACAGTATTTTCAACTCATTTCTTGCCCCAAATTGGGTATTTGGATGGGTTATAACCATGTCCACCAGCTTCAGATGTTATAAAAGCATGTAAAACCTGCAGGAATACATTGAAGTATTGAGAGACAAAGATGAAATGATTCCAGGGTGATATTTTCAGCTGAATCTGTTAAGGGCACTGTTTACTGTTATAACACTTCACAAGAGTTCTCTCCCTTTACTCAGGAAGGCATTTCTCCCTTGAGTGTTTTGGGATAATTGATGCAGCTGTAATGGTAAAGGCTCAGCTTATATTTCCATTGTCTTCAAATATGCTAATTGCAAGGTCGTATTTACCGTTACAACCCTTTTACTAATCTTTTCTGAGAAAAATGTTACTTGTGTTCATTATGGTATGCATTTAGTATTCCCCAAGTTTGGACAAAAAAATTGATAAATACCATCTGATGATTTACAATTATGTCAAATATGACAATTTCTAAAAGAGGTGTTATCACAGTCTTAATAGGAAATTTGAAAATGACTATAATTTTGCCAAGGATTATTATTGACAACAACTTCTTTATTAGGGACTGTTCATAATTTATGGGGGGCAATGGCCTAGTGGTTAAAGCGTTGGCTCGTCACGCCGAAGACCCGGGTTCGAATCCCCACATGGGTACTATGTGTGAAGCCCATTTCTGGTGTCCCCCGCCGTGATGTTGCTGGAATATTGCTAAAAGCGGCGTAAAACCAAACTCAGTCAGTCATAATTTATGGCTAAGGGCTGTGGTGATAATTTTAAGGGGGGGTTCACCCATTTTGTTTGGGTAAGTAGTGGGGGTCATCAGTTTTGTACACATATACTAGAGGGGGCATTGATTTTGTACATGGCATGCATGGGGGGTCACTTACTTTGTACAAAAAATTTAGGGGGGTAATTCACATTGTACATGCTTCTCCATAAAAATCATCATCGCACCCCGATGCCCCCCACCCCCTAGCCATAAATTATGAACAGTCCCTTATACCTACAAATGTTGGACTGCATCTTGCCATTTATCAACATCTCTGAAATGTTGTGGGGTGGGGTAGCCTAGTGGTAATGCGATAAAATGATACACTTTGTCATACAGTATGAAGTTTGTAAGTCTGTAAAAGCTTAGAAGAATTGATTACTGCAGCCTCAGGAGAGAGTCCCTGGGTTGCTTATTCTGAAATTTAATTAACATAACTATTTTTCTGTAAACCTTTTTCTGGGGCTACTTGGTAGTCATTTAGTCAGTTCCTTAAACTTTGTGGGAAGCCCTTTCTTGGTGTCCCTGTGATATTCTCAAATACCACTAATGGTGGTAAAGACATATTCGCTGTGTTGTAGGCACTGGAGATGCCTCCCACCGACCCCCTCCACGGGCTGAGGATTCACTCCTGGGTTCTCATCCTGTCTGGGAAACGCGAGGTCCCCGAGAGCTTCTTCATCGAGCCATTCACTGGTCTATCACATGAAGTGGACAGCCCCAACTACCTTGGCATTGAGTCAGTGTGGAACAACGTCAACTACTGGGTCAACATGCAGGACTGTTCCGATGGAGTCAAGGTAGTCTATCATTCTTCGGTGTTGAAAATCTGTTAATCTGGTTACCATTTTGGATATACTCCTTGTGTTTTTTCAGTGTAGATGTTTTGAATGTTGATTTACTACCTCTAAACCCAATTGCATAGATCGATTCTTATGATCACTGGATTGTCTGGCCCAGACTTGACTATTTACACACCACCACAATAAAGCTGGAGTGGTGAGTTTAGTTTACGCCGCACTCAGCAATATTCCTGCTATATGGCAGCGGTCTGTAAATAATCGAGTCTGCACTAGACAATCCAGTGATCAACAGCATGAGCATTGATCTGTGCAATTGCGAACCGATGATGTGTGTCATCCAAGTCAGCGAGGCTGACCACCCGATCCCGTTAGTCGCCTCTTACAACAAGCATGGGTTACTGAAGATCAATATTCTAACCTGGACCTTCACGGGTAAATAAAGCTGGAATATTGCTGAGTGTGGCATAAAACAAGAAACAAACTGTTGTGTAGTGGATAAGAGTGTCTGCCTGATTCCTTGTCCATGTCATGTCTGGTGTTGAAAGATAGTACTTGTTGTTACCTTGCCTAGGACTTAGCAACAAGGTGATAAACAAGGAATGGTCATCTTGGGGTCAGTATATCATGTCAGATAGGGGTATCTGTTGTGTAGTGGATAAGAGTGTCTGCCTGATTCCTTGTCCATGTCATGTCTGGTGTTGAAAGATAGTACTTGTTGTTACCTTGCCTAGGACTTAGCAACAAGGTGATAAACAAGGAATGGTCATCTTGGGGTCAGTATATCATGTCAGATAGGGGTATCTGTTGTGTAGTGGATAAGAGTGTCTGCCTGATTCCTTGTCCATGTCATGTCTGGTGTTGAAAGATAGTACTTGTTGTTACCTTGCCTAGGACTTAGCAACAAGGTGATAAACAAGGAATGGTCATCTTGGGGTCAGTATATCATGTCAGATAGGGGTATCTGTTGTGTAGTGGATAAGAGTGTCTGCCTGATTCCTTGTCCATGTCATGTCTGGTGTTGAAAGATAGTACTTGTTGTTACCTTGCCTAGGACTTAGCAACAAGGTGATAAACAAGGAATGGTCATCTTGGGGTCAGTATATCATGTCAGATAGGGGTATCTGTTGTAGTGGATAAGAGTGTCTGCCTGATTCCTTGTCCATGTCATGTCTGGTGTTGAAAGATAGTACTTGTTGTTACCTTGCCTAGGACTTAGCAACAAGGTGATAAACAAGGAATGGTCATCTTGGGGTCAGTATATCATGTCAGATAGGGTATCTGTTGTGTAGTGGATAAGAGTGTCTGCCTGATTCCTTGTCCATGTCATGTCTGGTGTTGAAAGATAGTACTTGTTGTTACCTTGCCTAGGACTTAGCAACAAGGTGATAAACAAGGAATGGTCATCTTGGGGTCAGTATATCATGTCAGATAGGGGGTATCTGTTGTGTAGTGGATAAGAGTGTCTGCCTGATTCCTTGCCCATGTCATGTCTGGTGTTGATATATAGTACTTGTTGTTACCTTGCCTAGGACTTAGCAACAAGGTGATAAACAAGGAATGGTCATCTTGGGGTCAGTATATCATGTCAGATAGGGGTATCTGTTGTGTAGTGGATAAGAGTGTCTGCCTGATTCCTTGTCCATGTCATGTCTGGTGTTGATATATAGTACTTGTTGTTACCTTGCCTAGGACTTAGCAACAAGGTGATAAACAAGGAATGGTCATATTGGGGTCAGTATATCATGTCAGATAGGGGTATCTGTTGTGTAGTGGATAAGAGTGTCTGCCTGATTCCTTGTCCATGTCATGTCTGGTGTTGAAAGACAGTACTTGTTGTTACCTTGCCTAGGACTTAGCAACAAGGTGATAAACAAGGAATGGTCATATTGGGGTCAGTATATCATGTCAGATAGGGGTATCTGTTGTGTAGTGGATAAGAGTGTCTGCCTGATTCCTTGCCCATGTCATGTCTGGTGTTGATATATAGTACTTGTTGTTACCTTGCCTAGGACTTAGCAACAAGGTGATAAACAAGGAATGGTCATCTTGGGGTCAGTATATCTTGTCAGATAGGGGTAACTGTTGTGTAGTGGATAAGAGTGTCTGCCTGATTCCTTGTCCATGTCATGTCTGGTGTTGAAAGACAGTACTTGTTGTTACCTTGCCTAGGACTTAGCAACAAGGTGATAAACAAGGAATGGTCATATTGGGGTCAGTATATCATGTCAGATAGGGGTATCTGTTGTGTAGTGGATAAGAGTGTCTGCCTGATTCCTTGTCCATGTCATGTCTAGTGTTGATATATAGTACTTGTTGTTACCTTGCCTAGGACTTAGCAACAAGGTGATAAACAAGGAATGGTCATCTTGGGGTCAGTATATCATGTCAGATAGGGGTATCTGTTGTGTAGTGGATAAGAGTGTCTGCCTGATTCCTTGTCCATGTCAAGTCTGGTGTTGATATATAGTACTTGTTGTTACCTTGCCTAGGACTTAGCAACAAGGTGATAAACAAGGAATGGTCATCTTGGGGTCAGTATATCATGTCAGATAGGGGTATCTGTTGTGTAGTGGATAAGAGTGTCTGCCTGATTCCTTGTCCATGTCATGTCTGGTGTTGAAAGATAGTACTTGTTGTTACCTTGCCTAGGACTTAGCAACAAGGTGATAAACAAAGGAATGGTCATCTTGGGGTCAGTATATCATGTCAGATAGGGGTATCTGTTGTGTAGTGGATAAGAGTGTCTGCCTGATTCCTTGTCCATGTCATGTCTGGTGTTGAAAAGATAGTACTTGTTGTTACCTTGCCTAGGACTTAGCAAATGGCAAGGTGATAAACAAGGAATGGTCATCTTGGGGTCAGTATATCATGTCAGATAGGGGTACTGTTGTGTGTGTAGTGGATAAGAGTGTCTGCCTGATTCCTTGTCCATGTCAAGTCTGGTGTTCCATGTCTGGTGTTGAAAGATAGTACTTGTTGTTACCTTGCCCTAGGACTTAGCAACAAGGTGATAAACAAGGAATGGTCATCTTGGGGTCAGTATATCATGTCAGATAGGGTATCTGTTGTGTAGTGGATAAGAGTGTCTCGCCTGATTCCTTGTCCATGTCATGTCTGGTGTTGAAAGATAGTACTTGTTGTTACCTTGCCTAGGACTTAGCAACAAGGTGATAGACAAGGAATGGTCATCTTGGGGTCAGTATATCATGTCAGATAGGGGTATCTGTTGTGTAGTGGATAAGAGTGTCTGCCTGATTCCTTGTCCATGTCATGTCTGGTGTTGAAAGATAGTACGTGTTGTTACCTTGCCTAGGACTTAGCAACAAGGTGATAAACAAGGAATGGTCATCTTGGGGTCAGTATATCATGTCAGATAGGGGTATCCATGTTAAACTGTATCATGGTGTCTCAGTGGACAAGCACTGTAAACCAGCATAAGTCCAGACTAGACTAAGCAGATGCACACACACGTCCGTATAAGTGGCTATATAAGTAAAATGTTCTTGAGAGTTGAATTAATGTTAAATTCCATTTCACCTTACTGCCTCACCTGGTGTAGCTGTGACATCACCTTGTTCCAGGGTCTGTCCTATGACCTGGGAGATTGTACGATGTGGGAGTACATGTTCCCAGGTGTGGACAAGCACCTGCTGCAGATCCCGGAGACTGAGGAAGATCTCATGGATGGCCTGGATGACGATGAGGTAGGTCCTTGTTGTTGGAGATGCTTCTACAATGGCTCTTTGTTCTGTCAATCTTGTTTATGTTATGTTTATTCACATATTGAACTTATGTTGTACATCATAACGTTGATGCCTTGCCTATTTATTAACACACACCTGTTTCAAAAATGATTTGTAAAAAGTCCACTGAAGACTGCCATTAATGATTTCAAAACTGTGTTTTTCTAAACATAGTGCTGGATGCTGTGTGTTCAGAATTCACCGACTATCCGATGATGAAGTTCTGTTGTGTTGCAGGAGAGTAAAGATGATGTAGAGAAGCACCTTGACATGCCCCCTTCCTGGGTGGAACCCCTTAGACTCTCCCTCAGAGGTTGGTACCGGCCTAATCATGTAGACTTCAGGAATGCTCAGAACCAAATATCATTTGAACTGAAAATATTTGCAAACATACACTTCACATTGGTTATCATCCTGCCTCAAACCTTATGGACCCAAATCTGGCATATGTTCCTGAGGCATAGGAGTTGACTATTTCAACCCTTGCTGAACTAGGCTGGAATTTCTGAGTATGTTTTGCTGGACTAGAGTCTATACAATTAAAATCAAACAATAAAATCAACATGGTAAATATAAGTATTTACAAAACATTTACAATCAGCTGGGGGGTTGATAGATGTTGTCAGTTCCATTCATGTTCTCAGTCTACTTGCTCAAGTAATTTTATGCTCTCTGTACAATAAGATCCATTTTGTGACAATATGATACACGTCCTGATTGTCTATCAGATTGTTTTGACAGAGCACCACCTCTTTTTTGAAGCAACTACAAGTGATACATGAGGTGGAATCTGATTGTCAATAGGAGGGATGTAGAAGGGACAGACCTTGTAATAACCCCGGTGGCACTGTGTTTGAGCCACAGCCAAGTTCAGCAATGGTGGAAACTAGACAATACTAGTTAACTCCCCTGCTTCACCAAGATTCTCACCATAATGTGTCATCTGTATGATCATGTCTGTTGTTTGTTCCATGTTTAAGCAAGTGTATATGTGGGTTTGAGAATCATTTTAGACCTGCAGTGAATTAGTTATCATGATAATTGTTATTAAATGATTTTTAGTGCAGGATAAACTAATTGAGGACTCTTTTAAAGAGAGACTGTCAAACTGTAAACGCAAGAAATGGATGATCCATATTTCCTAATTGGCTATTTGATTTGCTGGTATTGCTACTATTAGTATTTGTTTGTAAGAAAATGTCATCAAATCTTGGTTTTATAGATGAGACACGAGACATGATGCTCTAAAGAGAGATATGTTGCTTAGCAACACTTCAAAACATGAACCAATAGTCAGGACAATGGACAATAAACTTATCAGCTAAAAGAAAACTTGTTTTGTTGAAGTAATATGTTACTGTTAATTTGTCTTATGCTAGATTGAGACTGAGAGTTCAGTCAATGATTTTGCATGTCACTAAATAGCCCCAGTAAAACTACCAACATATGTAATACATGGTAAAAAACAATGTTTTGGCGTCTTGTGAACAAAAGTCACATCATATAGACATCACATAATGTTTCTTGTGAGAATAGCCGTGGTTTGATATCAGTTGTCTGTGATGATGTTGCTTTCATTTAACAAGTTATTTTTGTGTTGTGGCAGTCAAAAACATCTTTGTAAACCTCACTGATCACCAAGGGTTATCTCCCCTACACCACTCTTATTATATTCCACGAAACCTTCAAAAGAAGTGTGACTGAAAAATGAAATAAAAATGTCACGACAGAATTTCTGCAAAGGGAATGCTTTGATTGTTTAATGCTTGAATCCTCAATCCATGTTTTATCTATTTACTTCCTAGATTTTGAAATGCGTTGTCCACAAGGAAAAAAGACGAAGCTTTACAAGCGAGCAAAGCTGGAGAAGTTTGCCCACTATCTCCTCAACGATGGCCTCGTGTCCCGACTGTCTGTGTACGATGACAAAGAATGTGAGTGTTACATTAGCATGTTTAATATGAAGAAAGATTTGAAAAAATAAACAATAAACATAAATGAAGAATCACCTGATAAGTGCAATCTGATTTGTTTTGTAATATTTATGACTAGAGCATCAAGATGTTGCATGAACCCTTCCATGAAAATTGTCTCACTGACTCATCTCATCCTTGCAGTGACTGACCTTGTCCTTGTAAAGGAGTACTATGCACACCGTAAGGATAAGCTCCACACAAGGGTACACAACCACCGCACTGGCTGGGTCACGGAGTTCTTCAACCCTGGTCGAGTCAAATGTGTTAAAGGTATGGCTTCAGTTGAACAGTGATAGTACTTTCTACTTTTTACTCTTCCTCAAACAAAAGTGGTATGGCACACAGGGAGGTGAGCTGCTTGTTATATACAAGATCTGATCACCACATGAATATTGAACAAAAAAGTAGGCATTTCTTTGGTGTCTTAGCTCGGATAGGAACGAATGCTCTTTTATTCAGCAGCGAAATGATTTGGATCATGAATAGTGGCATTTATACTTAGATAGATCTTGCATTGGTAATAGCTTAGTTCTTACATGGGGGCTCGCTAAATAGATCTTGCATGTTAGTAGTTATAGTTGACCTATGCATGTTTGCTTGGATAGTTCTTGCATGGGTGCTTGCTCGGATAGATCTTGTATGGATGCTAACTGTTAAAGTTGATCTGTGCGTGTTTGCTTGGATAGTTCTTGCTTGCGTGATCACTTGGATAAATCTTGCATTGGTGCCTGCTGTTACAGTTGATGCATGTGTGTTTGCTTGGATAGTTCTTGCATGGATGCTCGCTTGGATAGTTCTTGCATGGGTGCTTGCTTGGATAGTTCTTGCAAGGGTGTTTGCTGTTATAGTTGATCTGTGTGTGCTTGCTTAAATAGTTCTTGCTTGGGCGATCACTTGGCTAAATCTTGCATGGGTACTCGCTGTTATAGTTGATCTGTGTGTGCTTGCTTGAATAGTTCTTGCTTGGGTGATCACTTGGATAAATCTTGCAAGGGTGCTTGTTGTTATAGTTGATCTGTGTGTGCTTACTTGGATAGTTCTTGCAAGGGTGCTTGCTGTTATAGTTGCTGTTGATAGCTGATCTTGCTGTTATAGTTGCTTGCTTTTGATAGTTCTTGCAAAGGTGCTTGCTGTTATAGTTGATCTGTGTGCTTACTTGATAGTTCTGCTTGGATAGCTTACTTTCTTGCAAGGGTGTTATGCAAGTTCTTGCAAGGGTGCTTGCTGTTATAGTTGATCTGTGTGTGCTTGCTTGGATAGTTCTTGCAAGGGTGCTTGCTGTTATAGTTGATCTGTGTGTGCTTGCTTGGATAGTTCTTGCAAGGGTGCTTGCTGTTATAGTTGGTGCAAGGGTGCTTGCTGTTATAGTTGATCTGTGTGTGCTTGCTTGGATAGTTCTTGCAAGGGTGCTTGCTGTTATAGTTGATCTGTGTGTGCTTGCTTGAATAGTTCTTGCATGGGTGCTTGCTCAGATAGTTCTTGCATGGGTGCTTGCTTCAGATAGTTCTTGCATTGGTGCTAACTTGGCTAATTGTTGCATGGGCAAAGATAGATAATTTGTTTTGGCACTCACTATGTTAGATCCTACATGGGTACTCACTAGAATAGATTTAAGAACTACTTAAAGTACTTCTAACCAGTACTTACCGATATGCTCAGTACCTTTAGACAATCACCCACACAGTCCTATAGGTAAACTGGCTGTGGTTTGTGAACAGCTGGTTAACGGAAGATGTAGAAAACACACTTCAGAGAGATGTTAGAAACATACATCAATCGATCATTTAATGAGCAGATATCAGTTTTCTCAGAGCTTGAGTAAACACAGTATAAATGGCAACATGTTTTTATAACAGACTATTTTCATGTGGTTAATTCTTTATTAATCTGCCATATGATAGTTTACTTTTAAATAGGAAGTTGTTTTTTCTGCTTTTTTTTCTGCACTTTAATCTCTTTTTCATCTTCTGCTTTCAACTCAAGTTACACTGCAAGTTTGATCAGTGCTTTGTCATCTTATTGTTTTTGAAGATAATTTCAGTGTAATTAACATCGTCCTTGCCTTTTTCTGCTTTCCAACTTATTAGTGACATATAAAAAAACTGAAACTCATTAATGGTGATGTAACCGCAAGAGACCAAGTATTCTCTTTTAACTCTTATGCCTAATAAATTCGCTAAATGACTTTCAGCTCAACCTTTCTTACTTTCGAGCACCCTGTCTACCATCATTACAGAGTCCTGGTCTCTCTGAGAAATGAGTGTGAGAATATGTTTACTTAATTAAACGTCCAAACTACTTAAACCCAGTTTAATGTGAATCACATCCGTCAACAATTAATTGACACTTTGGATGAAAATCTAATAAGTATTAATGTAAATAATGCTAAGTACTGGTATATTGGTTTAGAAATGATTTAGTGCTTACTTGAAGGGAAAATCCACACCAAGGGCACGCCACTGATTTCCTAGAGAGGTGTGCTTGAGTCACTAAGGCTACTAGCTGAAGGGTTCACTAGTAACACAGAAGATCCATGTTTAATTCCTGGCAAGAGATTTTGTGTGTGAAACCAATTCTTGGTGTCACCTATCTTGATGTAGGTGGGATATAGCTGAATGTTGCACAACTCACTAGCACCCTGTTGATAAGAAGGCAAATAATGTTGTAGCGTCTTGAACATGCTCAAATGCATGGATACAGGCACTTTATAAATGTTCATTATTTATAATTTATCATAATTTTTATTAAGTATTGTTTTATGCTGTTTGGGGCAGTTATACACCTAGAATGAAGAACTACCTCTGTGGTGTAGTGGTTACTGCGTCCACCCAGAGAGCAGAAGGTCGCAGGTTCGATCCCCGGCCACGTCATACCAATAGACATTAAAATATGGTACTTGTTGGTCCCTACCTGACACTCGGCATTAATGGGTACAACAAGGACTGGTCGGCTCTGAGTCAGTATAAAGGGTCTGAGTGGGGTATTCATGCTTAACTGCGGCATGGTATCTCAGTGGGCTAGCACTATAAAACCAGCTTCAGTCTGGGCTAGTACATTCAGCCACACATACACACAAATGCAGGTCGTCATATGAGTGAAATATTCTCAAGTACAATGTTAAACTCCACCTCACCTCACCTCACCTAGAATGAGCTTCACAAACTGTCCCCAGGTTGTTGCCCTGTACCTAGTCCTGTGGTCCCCGAACCCAGCGTTGGGTGTATGTGTGACTGTGATTTTTGTGAACACACTCTAGTGGTCAACAGCTCTGTGTTTAGTTAGTAGATATCTAAGAACAGAACTGTTCTGCACCACCAGAGCACCAGTACAAGGCCAGCCAGCCAGGTCCAGAGAATGAGAGGACAATGACCTTCCACAATGATGCCCGAGTCGATGGACTGGTCAAACGTATTGAGACCCCGACTGAGATGACCGAGCATTTCAAAGACAGAGATGACTTCCTCTTCTACAAACATGTAGTCTTTAATAAGAGACAAAAGAGATTTGGCCCACAGGAAGGATCCTCATCTGCCAACCAGAGACCAATATTGGTAAGAACCTTTTCTATGTGTGTCTGTTTCAGAGCTGCATTGTGTTTTATATTTCATAGTGCGAGGGAGTGAGTTACGTTTTTTTCCACTTTTAGCTATAGTCCAGCTGCTATAGTGCCCTGATTTGATTAACCATATGATACTGAGGATAAAGATGCCCAGGTAACCATGGTAACCTTTGGCTTAGGAACCAGGTATCAAGATCAGACCCAAGTCTTGGTGACTTGGCAACTGGTGTGCCCCGAAAATGCGGGTTGTTGCTCATGCTTCCAGTGGTCAGTGCTTACTTTTTTAGCAGGTCATGATGTCACTGGAATACTGCTAACTGCTTCATTATACAGCATTCTATCATGAGAGTGACTCTGACATGTGCTGCCAATGTTTTAAATGAACTTGAGCAAAAAAGTCTGAAAAATATATTGAAAGAATCTCTGTCAAACTATAAAATTCTTTAAAATGTTGGTATTTCTAGATGCCGTTTGTCTCAATGTTATCATCATTTGTTTCTATTGTGAATACGAATGACAGTCCAGGACATATTGATAGTATTATTAATGAATCTGTCGAATCTTTGCAAGAGTTGATTAAAAATATAAAATGTGTTATGAATCGTACTTCCCATGGGTAATCAACCCCAAATTGACAAACAACATATTGAATTATTTTTTCACAAATTTGTCTCCTTGTATTTTGTCAATTTGACAAATCTTTAAAACACAAAATAATTTGTCATGTTTATGAGCCCTTTAAACGAAATATAATGTGAACAAGCAGGTGACACATATTTCAACACAATTAATGACAGCTTGGCATTTTCTGAGGTGAAAAATCATTAGAACTGATCTGTACAAGATTCCTTAGAAGAGGCCTTGCCCTTCAACAGTCAGATTCTGTGTGTTGAGAGAAGGATGCGATGAAGATGCTCCGCACGTCTGATTATCTAACATTGACAAAGCCTCTGTCATGTCCAGCAAGGGCTCACAACCAGTAATCCCCAAATTATCAAGCTATCATTATCTGCCAACACTGTCACTGCCAACATCCGAGTGATGGTATTAATTGTCGACTTGATGCCTACCAACAGTAGGAGGCCATTATAGTTTTATTCTGCATGGCTTTTCTTTAGCGGCAGCTATTTGACCAAGCTGGAAATAGTTTTAATTTGACATCTCAGCGGCGAGCTTGACATTTCTTTCTTGTCTTGACGTCAGTGTCAGTCCTGCTCTGGGCCGGTCTGTATGTTTATAATTTCGAGAAAGGAATTCATTTTTTCCCTTTTGTGTAATAAGTCTTTGTTGAAGTTCTTTCAAAGTCAGAACTTTTTTCATCAGTCAAGTTTGTATTTTCATCATATTTGAAATTATTTTGGGCTATTTTGTCTATTGTTGTCAGTGACATTGTTCCTGTTCCAAGAACACCTCCCGAATAGCGTCGTGAGTTGAAATGGAAGACACTTTTATGTGAAATATTTAGAAAGATTGTGAACTTGAACAACATCATGTGTGTTACATAACCCTCTTTTCCTGAATATAGGATTTTCTTTGTCTGTATTCTATTATTTTCTATGCAAATGTCAGAAATACTTACCACATTAATGCGTTGAATCGTATATAGCTCTTAGAGATATATATACATGTAGATATACAATTAATGGCCTTATTGACCTTTATGAAAATATTAATTTTGATCATGGATAGTCTTTTTCTAAAGAATTGTGAAGCTGAAATAAAAAAAATTATACTTGTTCAACATATTCTTCCTAACATGATATTTGTAATTATTTTTACAAAGAATGTATGTGTTATTCATTTAAATTATACAAAGTGGATCATGGTTTTGAACTAATAATTTCAAGCAAATTTGCGATATCCTAGAGGTTTTGTGTTTCCAAGAAACTATTGAATTCAACTGAAACATGAGAAGATGAAGAATTTATAGGGATTCATAAGTTTAAAATTTTCTTTCTCGACCTTGAGTTCCTGTGATCAGTGTCTTTCACAGGATTTAGCTAAACAATCTCAGAAATATGATTGCTTTAGGGCAATTTGAATGTCAAGAATAATTCTGAAAATTGCCATGTGAAAATAAAGAGAAATGACTCATGCAAATCAATAACAACCAATTCTCACAGAGTTTCTATGCAATAATACACGATATTATATGTCACAAATTTCTGAATTCACACAAATATTGTATACAAGTTACCTTGACCATGTTATTTATTTGACATATTTCAGTGCATGCTACCAGAATGTTAATTAGGATGAATATGCATGGCACTATGGATGTCTTTGGATATATGTTCTGATAACTTAGTGATAAGTCTTCTGATATGTAGGCCTTTTGTAATATATTACATTTGGGATTACACAATCTTAGTAAAGTACTTATACTGAGTTCTGTTAGGATTGAATAGCATCTGGAATACTAACACATACTACCCCAGATAGCATTCAGACGTTGACCCAACGTTGGCAATGGTTTTGCCAATATTGCCAACGTTGGGCCAACGTCTGAATGCTATCTGGGAACTAAACCCTCTAAAAAGTGTTAATTTTATAGTTCCCATGGCTGAAACTTATGAATACACAGTGCCTTTTAGAAAGTGGTCAAAAGGGGTCAAAAGTAAGGAATTGGTACTTACTAGCAGGGGTGGAAATAACTTTAAAATTGCTAGTGTACACCGGTACAGTGGCAATTGTAAAATCACTCGCCCTGATAATTTTTCCTCTATACTGGCCAATTTTCTTTTTGATTTTTTAAATAAACAACATAATTAACATTGGAAAGTCAACTGGACATTGGTACAGCGTGATATACAAATTTGTTTGCCGGACTGGAAAAAACACTGGACTCGGACGTCGGGCAATGGGTTATTTCCACCCCTGACTAGTGTAATTCCCAATATAACATATCAACTTCCTAAAAGGCATTGTGTATGTAAGTTTATTACTTGGCCTTACGGGTAGGTCCCTGGTGTAGTATGTGCTTCTCAGAAGAGACAACTTAACACTGCTTAATGGATGGTTGCTTAGGCTGGTTGACTTGGTTGACTTGGTTGACTGCATGTCATTGTACTCCACAGACATGGATCTTTGCTCATGATATCAATCACTGGATTGTACTGTCATTTTTATATACCTATATGGGATATTGCTGTGAAAAATAACTTACAATCACTTGACTTGAGCTGCAGAGTTTGTAGTGTCCCAGACACTTTTCCATATAAAACACCAACACTAGTATAAACAGACACACAGAAATGTATCAAGCTGGCCTCTCTTGTTGGAAGCTGCCAAGTGCATTGTTAAATGATAAAGTCCCAGGTAAATCCCGCTGTTATTGTTTGATCAAACTTAGGACAAAATCTTCTTTACAACATGCCCCGTTGGGGATTCAGGATTAGAACTTTTCCCCAGCAACCGTTGGGTCTTATGACTCAATGATATAGTGAGTGAGTGAGGGACTAAGGTTTCAAACTGCAGTTTTCTAGCAGAATCACAGGGATACCCAAAATGACTCTAAAACATTGAACCCATGTTTTGAATCCAAACTGGATCTTTGGCATTAAGAATGAACACTTTAACCACTAGTTAGCTACCTGACCATCCCGGCAACTTTATAGGTTATAGTCCGTTTGGTTCAAAAGCGGACCGATGAATTGCAGTCTAACTCGAAAACTAATAAACATAACATACTCAATGAAACGCTGATCATAATCAAAACATCATACCCACTCTGTGAGGTTTTTGCAGAATTTTTGTCCTAACAATTAAAAGTTGTTTAACAATCTATCATTAAAATATTGACACAGTTCACTATTTGTTACGAGGGAGGAGTGCAGAGAAAGGGACAGCCAGGTGTTCGAGAACGGATGGAGACGGCACAGCACAGGTTAATGAATAAATAACTTTGTCTGTGAACATGCTTCTCGAACACCTGGCTGTCCCTTTCTCTGCACTCCTCCTTCGTAACAAACAGTGAACTGTGTCAATATTTTAATGATAGTTTGTTAAACAACTTTATTATTTTTAGGACAAAAATTCTGCAAAAACCTCACAGAGTGGGTATGATGTTTTGATTATGATCAGCGTTTCATTGAGTATGTTATGTTTATTAGTTTTCGAGTTAGATTGCAATTCATCGGTCTGCTTTTGAGCCAAACGGACTAAAGGTGGTTGGTTTCGGTTACTTGGTTCCTTCATTGTACTCTGACAACAGGGAATGTAATTGATAAATTATTACCACAAAAATTGGAAAGGTGACCCAAATAAATTTGTTATGCAAATTAAAAATATTTTTTCCCCATATTACCAAGTATGTTTGAAGATTCAGAATTATTTATACTCATATTGATGGATCAAAATATATGATTCTGAAGCAAAACAAGATGAAAATAGTTTCATAGTATTGATATAGGAAGTGTCTATTTATTCACACAGACACCCATATAGTATTACATGAAATAGAAATGCAACATTACAACATAACCAATTCTATGTCTGGCTTAAAGAACTAGAACAGAAATTGCAGTCGTTATTAATAGTATTTCTGACAATACACCACCCAGTCTGTTAATGACAGTCTTGCACAAGGATGCTAATTGTATGACTAAACGCAGGACCCACGGCACACACAACCAAATGCATGACGCACAGGGGCATATTTAGCCATCGGCTTGACAGGAAACACTGCAGTGCAGGGAACTGTATTTAACCCAGTCTGTTTTATTCCAATGTTGATTGCACTGACGTATATTACTGTCGTAGGTGGCACGTATTTCCCCTTTCATCACTGCCACAGGTGTTTATGGAATATTTGAGAAATGAACTTCACCACAGGACCAAGTTAAGACCACTTGTTCTGGGGTTCTTCGCTTTGGAAATAGACGAACTGAAAGATGAGTGATGGCTTCATAGTTCTGTCTGTTTGGAATGGCCATTCCCCGTGGCATGTGTCATACTCAAATATCGGTTTTCAGTTTGATAAGATCTTGTAATATGCATGATATGTACAATGCCTATTATCATGTCTATTTCATTCTTAGAATTGATCATCCTTGTGTGGGAAACTGCTGGAAGTAATGAAATAGTTGTCCTTCGGGGTTTTTAGGACTGTTATCTCCATGTGTTCCGAACATCAATGGAGTATAACATCATTATGTACATGTGACTATCTGACTGTCAACAGCATATATATTGTTTTGTAAAGGGATGGTTAGTAGAGAATATAGAAATTAACTGGCAATTATACCATCGATTTTCCCTTGATGATAGGATGGTTCTGTGCTTTATTATCTCATTGGGAATAGTTTATGTCTTGAAAGTCTTATTTCCACATAATGTTTATTGATTACTTTCATTACCGTATTCGCTGTATTAAGCACCCCATTCCAGGAAGCACAACCTGACTAACTTGTCGGAACATCATGTAAATCATAATTGGCCCTCAAACTGACGTGACAATACATATTATTTTATAGATATTCAGATTATCTTACAGTAAACACAGTAGGTCAGAAGGTATGTAACTGCCCAGTATTTTTCATCAAACCCAAGTCACCCTGTTTCCTATTGCTCAATACCTACAACAAGTTTAACTAGTATGTGGTTTTGATAAGATCCATTATGCTGGAATCTATGTTGGCAAATTCAGCCACTTGTTCAAGGCATAAGTGGCATGTTGGTCAAGGAAGATTATGACGGTATTGTTTTTTGTTTGTTTATTCTTTAATGCCGCACTCAACAATATTTCAGCTGTATAAATGGCAGTCAGTAAATAAAGTCTGGACCCATCATCCACCCATATCACCCAAATCAGATCAAGAGAGATCAGTTCTAATCCAGTTCTTCAAGGGTCTTATAACAGTAGTACCGACTCCATGGTGTAGTAGGTTAGTGGGGAGTGGTCTGAGAGCAGAAGGTCGCGGGTTCAATCCCGAAGACCGCCAGTGACTAAACGCACCACGCAAAATATGGTACTTGTTAGTCGAACCAAACAATTCTGGAACATTAATGGGTACAACAATACTGGTCACAAGGTTGAGTCAGTTATAATGTTTCATGAGTGGGGTATTCATGTTTCAACCATGATTAAAGTATCTCAGTGGCCCCTAGAAACTATAAAACCAGCATCTAGTGTGGGCTAGTCAAAGATGTGCATTTGCAACATACACAAGCATGCACGCCATCATATGAGCTGTGCAAATATTCTCAACCAGGACAATTAAACCCAATGACGCTAACCAATTACCTTATGATTGTATGGTGTAATAACGGAATGAAGATGTGGTATGGCAGTTTGGGGTAGTAGTTTGCATGGTCACATTTTCGCAACAAAATGGCCTCTCTGGACATAGTTATCATTGTATCATCCCTTGTTATATACAAAACAGCTTGTGCTTTAAGTTATCACACCGAGGAGTCACTGGTTGGCAAAGATTTAGTTGTCAAATGGTCAAAATTAATCTATGAACCTTGTGAAATCGCAATTATAACTTTGTAACATTCATCAATTGCTGGGAATCAAGGGTTAAAAGTTCAGTTCAATCATCAGACTCATGTTGTACAAGTAAAACCCAATATGTCCAATGACGTAGGAAACTAAATCTAACATCTTTGATTAAAAAGCACTACATATTTTGAATTACATTAAGAGCAGTCAACTTTTAACAAAGACATTCTGTGTCTTGATAAACTGTGCAAAGATCCCATGAAAAGTAAAATGAAAATAGGGTGTGCTTTTTTTAATGATTTGATAGAAACATGAAACAGCTGAACATGGTCTGGCAAACATGGTTCCCTTCACCTGTGTAAGATGTAGTTTGTCCTAACACTCGAAGGATTATGTTATGCAATATTTGTTCTATAAACATTTTTCGGATAAAGATCATGTACACATGGAGTACCAATTTCATCATATATATTTGATTTCACTAACTAAACATATGAAAACGAATCTGTTCCTGTTTTTTCTACAGAAAATGACACAGAAATTCCACAGAAACAGATCCAAACCGGCCAACTGTGACATTGCAGAATTGATCTTTGCCATGTCAGAGGACAAGGTCTTCCTGACGTATCACACAGAGGACAAGAGAATCGCCTCGTCCAGTAGCCCCAGTCTACTTGTCCCAGATGATTTCTAGATTCCCTGTTATCTTGTCCACTGATCCAGATGCCCAGTAGCCCCAGTCCACTGCCCAGTAGCCCCAGTCTGCTTGTCCCAGTCCACTACTGATCCAGATGCCCAGTAGCCCCAGTCTACTTGTCCCAGTCCACTGATCCAGATGCCCAGTAGCCCCAGTCTACTGATCCAGATGATAGCCCCAGTCTACTGATCCAGATGCCCAGTAGCCCCAGTCCACTTGTCCCAGTCCACTGATCCAGAGTGCCCAGTACTTGTCCCAGTCTACTGATCCAGATGCCCAGTAGCCCCAGTCTACTTGTCCCAGTCTACTGATCCAGATGCCCAGTAGCCCCAGTCTACTTGTCCCAGTCTACTGATCCAGATGCCCAGTAGCCCCAGGCTACTTGTCCCAGTCTACTGATCCAGATGCCCAGTAGCCCCAGTCTACTTGTCCCAGTCCACTGATCCAGATGCCCAGTAGCCCCATTCTACTTGTCCCAGTCCACTGATCCAGATGCCCAGTAGCCCCAGTCTACTTGTCCCAGTCCACTGATCCAGATGCCCAGTAGCCCCAGTCTACTTGTCCCAGTCTACTGATCCAGATGCCCAGTAGCCCCAGTCTACTGATCCAGATGCCCAGTAGCCCCAGTCCACTTGTCCCAGTCCACTGATCCACATGCCCAGTAGCCCCAGTCTACTTGTCCCAGTCTACTGATCCAGATGCCCAGTAGCCCCAGTCTACTTGTCCCAGTCTACTGATCCAGATGCCCTGATCCACTGATCCAGATGCCCAGTAGCCCCAGTCTACTTGTCCCAGTCCACTGATCCAGATGCCCAGTAGCCCTAGTCTACTTGTCCCAGTCCATCCAGATGCCCAGTAGCCCAGATCTACTGATCCAGATGCCCAGTAGCCCCCACTTGTCCACACTGATCCAGATGCCCAGTAGCCCTAGTCTACTTGTCCCAGTCTACTGATCCAGATGCCCAGTAGCCCCAGTAGTATCCCCAGTCCACTGATCCAGATCCAGTAGCCCCAGTCTACTTGTCCCAGTCCACTGATCCAGATGCCCAGTAGCCCCAGCTCCTTGTCCCCTGATCCAGATGATCCAGTAGCCCCAGTAGCCCCAGTCTACTTGTCCCAGTCCACTGATCCAGATGCCCAGTAGCCCCAGTCTACTTGTCCCCCAGTCCACTGATCCAGATGACCAGTAGCCCCAGTCCACTCCAGACTGATCCAGATGTCCACTGATCCAGATGCCCAGTAGCCCCAGTCTACTTGTCCCAGTCTACTGATCCAGATGCCCAGTAGCCCCAGTCTACTTGTCCCAGTCCACTGATCCAGATGCCCAGTAGCCCCAGTCTACTTGTCCCAGTCCACTGATCCAGATGACCCAGTAGCCCCAGTCTACTTGTCCCAGTCCACTGATCCAGATGCCCAGTAGCCCCAGTCCACTGATTAGATGTCCAGTAGTCTCTGTCTACTAGTCCCAGCCCAGCAAATCTCCTTTAATCCCAGTCCAGTAATCCTGTATTCATTTCAATCCAGTAATCAAGAAGTAGACCTGAGTACCTGGAGTTGCTTAGTCCAGAGGTGTTTAGTCCCAAAGTCCTGAAGATGCCCCTATATTTTAGCTGTTCTCTGTTTAGATCCAAAGTCCAGAGGTCCATATGTCCCCATAGCTCTCAAGCGGTCAAATTAGCCCTCAGCAGGTCCAGTAATCTAATATAGACCTCAGGTTGTCCAGTGATCTAATATAGCACTCAAGTGTCCAAGATAGCCCTCACTGGTCCAGTATAGCACTCAGGTGGTCCAGTAGTCCAGTATAGCCCTCAGGTGGTGGAGCGGTCCATTTTAACCCTCATGCAGCCCCATAGTCCCTTTGTTACGCTTTAAACCTCATGTGGTCAAGTTGTCCCATGAAGCTCTGTTATCCCTGTTTCCAGGTGGATCCCAATGCTCCCTACAATAAGCAGGTGGAGCTGTACCAGACTCTGCTGGAACTCCTCAAGGCTGAGGAACTCTGCCGGGAGCGTCTCCGAGAGTCTGAGGAGGAGGTAAGTGACCCTTTCTTTATGAGGATTAGCAGGAGCATCAGATGGATGAGTGAATTATTATTTTTGCTATCATTGAGGCTATAATGGTTATTTCAATATTGAGCAAACTGTTCTATTTTGTTTTATATTCTGAGCTTACATAGGAGTAGAATGTTATTTGTTAATGTATATGTTAATTATATAATGCTTTTTTTATGTGTTTTCCTTATATTGGAAATTTTGTTGTCATTCTCTGTACATCGGTCAACTGTAAGCACACTAGTTTACGTGTTATTGTATTTAACACTTAGGCCAGACCAATTTTTATTTCTTTTTTTACGGATCCGCCGGTCATATTTTTTCAAGAATAAAAAAATACATACAAATTCATTTTCCCTGCTCAAAAAATGTAAACTTACAAAAAAAATTGTTTTGATTGCATTTTTGTCCCATATACACTTCATAAATTGCCAAAAATAAAATACTTTTAGTATTTAAAAGGAATATTACTTTGACTGGTGACTTTTTTACTTTTTTCCCTCCTGCCTTTAGGTTTTCTGAGGACAAAAATCCATAAAACAAGAAATAAAATTGGTCTGGCCTTACATTTGTTCTGCAATCATTTTACATGAAAGGGTGTATATGTGCATTGGTATTAATGTTGCAATAAATAATTGATACAAACAGATTCCAGACAAAAAAATGACAAAAATAGATCTTGTACAATTTAAGCCATTTAACCAATTACTTTGTTTAATTAATATGTTGTTTGATATTCTCATATTTTGGTCCTCTGCTTTGAAAGTTGACCACAACTAATCGCTATCCTTATCCATCCCTGGTGTATTAACAGGTGAAGGAAATCCTAGATGAGAGAACCAAGGAGGAGAGTGACTCGGAGCTGGAGATTTCCGTGTACGATACAGAGAGGAATGAGAAGGCAAAGAAACACAGGAGAGAGATGGTAAGCATGTCAATATATCAATAACACACCTTACACGGAATAGTCACTTACATGGTGAGAGGCCCTCGACATCCGTTTGGCCATGTGAGAGACCTTTGTATTGTCTCAAAGACTTTCAGGAGAAGAGAGAGCATAAATGAATGGAAATGTTTTCCAGGTTTTTCATACCTTTCGTTTCTGAAGTCAGTGCTCCAGCAGACATTTCCTCAATGGAACCTGGGTTAGAGCAGGTTCCCCAGCATTCAATTGCTGGTCATTGAAAGCAACCAAAATGCATTGTGTGGCAGGGTTTTGATGCTGATTGCATGCTCTTGTGCTCCAGTGTGATGGACAACTGTTTTCAGTCACTGTCTTGCCTGGTCCTAACAAAGAACACTCTGGAATATTGTGTGGAAGTTAGTGGTGTTCCAATTAATTGAAATAATTGAAGATCAGTCACAGTGACCAAATGACCAAACAATCGATCACATTTTCTCATAAACGAACACAAACCATTTTGGAAGTACTGGTTTTAAACATTTGACGATGGAACATATCTTAAAAGTTGTCAGGGTCTGAAAACGTTTTTAATTCTTCGAAAACTCACTTCACTTACAGAAAAGTCATGACTTAATATTTCTTGAAGATTCCAGGATTTTGATTCCAATTTCGTTTGATGATTGTTGGTAATGTTATCAATTGTGACATTTCAACCAATTCCCAACTACTGGAAGTACACAACATTCATTAATTTGTATTTGAAACTATGTGGCCTATTGCATGTGAGAGAGGTGGTTTTGTTTCAGTAACATTGCCCCATCATCGAAAATAATTGGTTAGCCTCATATATAAAATTTTCCTGTTATGTTTGTTCATGCTGCAGAAAAAACACAAAAACATGTAGTTTTTTGGGTTTGTTTAAATTTCAAATCTTTAAAGGATGACTAGTATGTTAGGAACATACATTTCCTGTGGCCTTAAATTCAAGCATGAACGAGTTCGTAGTGCTCATGAAATGTAAATTTAATGACACAGACAAACAAGTGTTTCAAAATTGTTTGTGTTCGATTGTGAGAAAACGTGATCAATTGCTTGGTCGTTTAGTCACTGCGACCAGTCTTCGATTATTTCAATTAATCGGACCACCATTACCGTGAGTACAATTAGATATCTGTTTCACCAGGAACGTCTCAAGCTGGAGGAGAAGATGAGGAAGCAGGAGATGGAGATCGACTACCTGGCTCCCTTCCTGGCCCAGATCGGTGACCCCGACAAGATATCTCGCACCCAGGCCTACAAGCTGAAGGAGGACTGTCTGGCTGACCTCAAGCAGAGGCTCATTGACAAGGCCAACCTCATACAGGCCAGGTTTGAGAAGGTAAGGGGGACAGTGTGCTGACCTGTTTGTCTTCACAGCTACAATGTGATAGATTTTCAGTTTGAGCATTGGACAAGCTGTAGGTGGATGTAATACCCTCTCTCACCATAAAACACCCAGTATCATCTTTGGAACCTGACACTGTAGGTCATTGTTGAAGGGGTATTTGTATCAGTTGGAAGAGAGGAACAGTGGTTAAAACGTGAGGTGACAATTTCAACAGACTTCAGTCACAATTTCAGTGTATTCTCTCTCACTCATTTCCTAGGTCATTGCTTAAACTGTATTTTGATTTGTTTTTGTGAGAATGGGACAATGTCCCAAAATATTGATGTGACAAATACCTTGTCAGGAAAGTGTCTTGATGCCTGAATGATACCAGGTGGATGAGCATGTCCTTCATTCTTATTATTTTCTCCACTGTTTTGCCTTTTTATTCCCAGTGGAATCTGTTTGGGCAGATAATTGAGACTGAATTTAATGGTAGTATCGATCATGTTTGAAGGTGGCGGACATGATAATATTTGTCAAGGAAAGTTAGAAACAACTAATAAATTTGTGGATGGTCACGCTTAGTTAGCCCAAGATGTGCTACAGAGAGCTGGTTATAACATTGTTGACTTCTCTTTCACTGTAGGAGACCCAGGAACTGCAGAAGAAGCAGGGTTGGTACCAGCAGAACCAGGTGTCCATGCAGAAGGATGACGAGGAAGAGTACCTCAACTACTGCAGCGAGGCCATGTTCCGCATCCACATCCTCGAACTCCGTCTCAACAGGTGAGGAGGGATGATTAAATCACACGTTGTCATAAACAACCAACAACTGGTTCTGTTACCATGCTAACTGTGGTCAATGTGAATATTAACATATCTTCATGTTATTCAGTGACATTAGATAAGCTTTTTCATATTTTGTACAAGGTTGTATTCATATTTCAGACACAAGGAAATGGCTCCACACAAGTACATGGCTCTGGAACAGAAGCTGCGGAGTGACAACCGTCTGACCGAGTACTTCTAGACGGACATTGTACAGACAAGCACAAGCCCATCTTTGTTATATTCCGTCCATGTTTTAGATTCATTTGTGATACATACCACTCAAAATGTGTTAGGAACCCCCCGATTCTTTCCTATCACACAATTTAGTCTGTCATGGTATGAAAGATTAGCTACTGTAATGTGAAAAAATCATATGTTCTTTAATTGTTTTGAGTGGTATATTTTGTCATGGCATATTGTTTCATCCCAGTAATGTCTGTGATAGCTTCATAAACTGTTGGGGAACATTCAGTGTGGGTTATTTAAGTTTGGCTTCACACAAATGCCTAATATGAATACTACATCTGAGATTGTATAAACTTTTGAACATAAGGTCAGAAGAATTTTCCCAAACTGAATTAAACATTTTACTATATATTTGTATTATGTGAGTTTAGATCGGATGAATTATATCAAAATTAAAACAAATACAGATACTGAATGCAGACTTGAGGCAGATGAATAAAATGGAGCAATGTTTTGACTCCTGTTGATTACCCTTTACAGAAGTTCTGCAAACTTTCTCAAATGTTAGCATGAACTGTATCTTGAAGGAAATCAACTGGAGGTGAAGTGATGATGTTGCTCAGTGTTAAGTAAATTAGCATTATGACCTCCCCACGATTGTATTGTACAGTAACATATAGTTGTATATATGTCAGAGGGTTGAATGGAATTGTATGAATAAAATCTGTATTTATGAAAGCGTTTCAAGACTGCTCTTTTATATTAAGGCAACGGAAGATCTCTCATGAAGTCTCAGAAGATTGGGATAGTTCATATTTGTTTAGGACCGCCTCCGTGGTGTAGTTGTTAGAGCGTCCGCGCGGAGAGCCGAAGGCGGGTTCGATCCCGCCACGTCATACCAAAAGAGGTTAAGACATGGTACTTGTTGGTCCTTGCCTGGCGCTCGGATTTAATGGGTACAACAAGGACTGGTCGGCTCAGAGTCAGTATAATGTGTCTGCATTAAACAACATACTAACAGTAATTCATATTTGGGAAGATACCTTTTCCAGTTGTAAATATATAACGATTTGGATAGATTGGGGGAGTTTATTAGAAATTTATCAAAGATGTCATCACTTGACATATGACTATTTTACATATTTCCGAAATAACATCAATCCTGGAACATAACAAACCACTTGTAAAAGATGAGAAGATGTACACCCTTGTTTCATCTGGATCAATATCATCAATACGTTTCAAATATATTTATGCGTATGTGTGGGAGTACGGGCGTCCTGATATGCCCGAAGCATGTATTGAATCAAAAAAACGAAAATGTGATTTTATTGTCCATAAATAAAAAAATGTGGGCACAGTTTCATGCTACCAGATTCAGAGCAATTATCACGAATACCTGATTGAGATAAGAAATGTCGCCATGGAAGAAATGGAATTTAAGTGTCTGTAACTGACATTGCGAAAAATGGTGCGTAATTTAGTTGGGAAATAACTAAAGAAATAGTATCTGTCAAATATATACAGTTTGACAATGTCAAACATGTCATTATTGAAAGACGGGGGTGGTGGTGGTTGATTTGGGGACCAGTGGGAACCTCACTAACAACTGTGGGTATCCAGGAATAGTTACCTGGGTCCTGTTCCCCTTTGCCAGCTTAGCGTAAAGACTTTCAAAATTCAATACTGAGACACAGGTTCACAATAATCTTACATTCGAGCCCATTCGGCTTGTTCCGTTACCCATGTAACACCTCGGGAAGTAATGTTTCAGTGACACTACTTCAGTTCACCGTCAATGGCATCCCAAACAAACTGCGTTTATTCCGTGCAAAGTGGACGGTAGTTTTATTAAAGTCTATTTGCTGTTCAGAGAAATAAGGTACAGCTTGACCTGCTACAAAAGATGTGTAATGTCATATTCACGTGAACTAGTGAAACTATATTCTTGTACCAATATGGATCATCCAAATGCTGACCGAGATTAACTACATGGGGTAAGTTGAGCCGATAGTCAGAACTACGATTGCTAACTTCAGCTTCATCCCAAATATCAAATCAACCATGTCACGTATGATACTGATTCACAAGTCTTCAGTTATCATACATCAACTGAAATACGAATTACATTGAAAACTCATTTTGTCATCACGCATTCTGCGTTGAGTTACTTACAATGCCCATCATTGAGCCTCTTACTTGACCCGACGTTGAGCAAATGAGGCAATCTAACGACAGAGGGTGTACAGTTAAATGTCAAAAGGATGAAGTAAGAAACTGCGCACATATAAGTCTTCTTGTCCTTGAAATGGACATTGTATGTTTGTGTTTGTAGGTAATCTGAACTAGACAATCAAGTGATCGATATTGTGAGCACCGATTCATGCCGTCGGACTATACTGACACGCAAATAAATACAAGACACCAACGTTAACCAATTGGTAGACACTGACTACCAACATAGGTCGGTGCGGATCCTTCCAATAATCCCCAGTGGGGATGTCTTCTAATGTCTTCTTTTAGAACCAAGCAATAGATGCCCTTTAGAGGAAGTCATCGATACACAAATGATGCATGACCTAATGACAAAGGATTCCGTTTCTGCACACGCCACCAGCTAACTACCAGTTAAGTCTGATTTATTGAAAATACAGACGCTAAAACATAGCATGGTAATGGCAGTCTGGTTTTGGCATCAACAAGTGCTTGTATGATGTTGCAATTGCCACATCAAGAGGAGTGAGTGAGTTGGCTTATTCACATACCTTGCACCAGTCCTCGTAATCTTTTAAAAACCTCGCCGCGAATACCTGCATCATTGCTGATGCTAAGCAATGTTCACTCACTCACTTTTAAAACTGATTCATGAAAATGCTATAATTTAGTGAGTGAGTATGGTTTTACGCAGCTTTTAGCAGTATTCAAGCAGTATTACGCAGTGTGCGAAATAGTTTCCTAATTTTGCTAGCCAGTCGGGCTAGTTATGCTTGAAAGTTACAAGCCCACAAAATAATTCACTAGCCCACAATTTGGGTGTAGAAACTAAGCAAAAGATTACAAAAAGTAAAATACCATCATTTATCAAGCCATAATCATACATGATTTCAAAGTGTATTATAACTTAACAAGTCGGAGAGAGTGATATTTTAAAAAATAACCCCATGAAAATTCACTAGCTACTCGGGCCAGTGACTGTGGAGATTTACTGGCCCGACTGGATTTTTACTAGCCACGGGCTTGTGGGCCAGTGGCTAGTTCGCACACTGATATTACGGCGGGGGACACCAGAAATGGTCTTCACATATTGTACCAACGTGAATATTCGAACCCGGGTCTTCGGTGTGACGAACGAACGCTCTAACCACAAGGCTACCCCACCGCCCCATAATTACAAGATGGTGATTTTTATTTTATCATCTTGCATGTTTATGATATAAGACTGGGGTTTAGAACAAAGGTACCTAGAAATCAAAGGGCAGTCTAGTACTGTTATCTTCCCCCAATTCCTTTCAGCCCTACCCCAGCAACATGCAACATCGCGTGCGCGTTCCACCCATCAATAGTTTACAAAGATACGCAGCACAACTATCAATGGAGTCTAAATAAAAAGTGATGTGATCAAAGCCAGTATAGCCATATCGTAGTAATGTTTAAGTGGGCGAACTAGGACCGCCAGTCCTCGTAACACAATCATACAAACAGAAGCACTAACAGCATTAACAGACGCGATAATATGCATCTCAATTGTGCATGGAATAAATGGTAGATCGAAATCGATTGTTTAATTCTCTATGGTTAAAACATCAATATGTGCTACGTGCACCACCCCGCTGGATGTACTGGTTGACGCAGTAAACGAAGTGCTGTTACTGATGCCGCCCCTGATGCCGACTTCCAATGTTCATATTGTAAGAGCAATTTTCACGTCCAAATGCTTTTAGTGAGATGTATCTGGTTCAAACTAATTGCACCATGAACCTTGTTAGTAATAACCATGTGTCACAACAAGAGAGTTGTCATTTCGCAGTGTCTGGGTCAACATAACTCACACACAGGCGCTAATAACGCAGCACCTACAGGGTTGCAGGTGATTTCAGTTTCGGGTCACAACCGTGTTTTATTGTGATGTGATGCATTTATATCGCAGGGCAAGTTTCAGTTTGTAAACGAATTCCTGTTTATCAAGCCAAGGAAATGGTGTTAAGTAATGAGAGTGTCAAGCTCTCAGATCAGGGTCTGCACTGAATCACAGGAGTTGTTGTTGTGTGCTGGGCCCGCACTGAATCAAGGGAGTTGTTGTTGTGTGCTGGGCCCCCACTGAATCAAGGGAGTTGTTGTTGTGTGCTGGGCCCGCACTGAATCACAGGAGTTGTTGTTGTGTGCGGGCCCCCACTGAATCAAGGGAGTTGTTATGTGCTGGGCCCGCACTGAATCACAGGAGTTGTTGTTGTGTGAAAGGCCCCCACTGAATCAAAAGAGTTGTTGTTGTGTGATAGGCCCGCACTGAATCACAGGAGTTGTTGTGTGATAGGCCCGCACTGAATCACAGGAGTTGTTGTTGTGTGCTGGGCCCCCACTGAATCAAAAGAGTTGTTGTTGTGTGATAGGCCCCCACTGAATTACATCAGTTGTTGTTGTGTGATAGGCCCGCACTGAATCAAGGGAGTTGTTGTGTGATAGGCCCGCACTAAATCAAGGGAGTTGTTGTTGTGTGCTGGGCCCGCACTGAATCACAGGAGTTGTTGTGTGCTGGGCCGCACTGAATTACATCAGTTGTTGTTGTGTGATAAGCCCCCACTGAATCAAGGGAGTTGTTGTGTGATAGGCCCGCACTAAATCAAGGGAGTTGTTGTTGTGTGCTGGGCCCGCACTGAATCACAGGAGTTGTTGTGTGGTAGGCCCGCACTGAATACATCAGTTGTTGTTGTGTGATAGGCCCGCACTGAATCAAGGGAGTTGTTGTTGTGTGCTGGGCCCGCACTGAATCAAAGGGAGTTGTTGTTGTGTGCTGGGCCCGCACTGAATCACAGGAGTTGTTGTTGTGTGCTGGGCCCCACTGAATCACAGGAAGTTGTTGTTGTGTGCTGGGCCCGCACTGAATCACAGGAGTTGTTGTTGTGTGATAGGCCCGCACTGAATCACAGGAGTTGTTGTTGTGTGCTGGGCCCGCACTGAATCACAGGAGTTGTTGTTGTGTGCTAGGCCCCCACTGAATCAAGGGAGTTGTTGTTGTGTGCTGGGCCCGCACTGAATCACAGGAGTTGTTGTTGTTTGCTGGGCCCCCACTGAATCACAGGAATTGTTGTGTTGATGGCCCGCACTGAATCACAGGGAGTTGTTGTTGTGTGCTGGGCCCGCACTGAATCAAGGGAGTTGTTATTTGTGTGCTGGGCCCCACACTGAATTGTTGTTGTGTGCTGGGCCCCCA